CTGAAGGTCTATTTTGAGCGTTACAGTAGACCACACTCAAACCGTTTCCCTTGAGAAACAATTCTGCAATTCTATCTGAAGTATAACGACGCTTTTCTTCGTTGAGAGATCATGTCAATGTCTTTCTCGTGACCTCAATTCGTTTTTGGATATATTCGTTTTCTGTTTTGAAAGTGTAAGGTTTAACTTTTAAATGCGGCCCAATTGTTGTGGTTGTAATTATCCGCATGGTTTGATTAATCCTATTGTCTGACTTTTTCGGCTCACAGATTAAAGAAATTTCCGCAAATATTGTCACGTCATTTCACCAGTCAATCACATCCATTACAAAGAGGGGAAGATAGATCGGAGAAGAGTGGAAAGCGGGGGGAGGGGGTCAGACATAAAAAAAAATTTCGCGTCTAAATGTCAGCCAGCTGTTTGCAGAGCTGTTCATTTTGTGGATTAGAACGCAATATTATTGAAACAAAAACGCCGGAAAAACTGAAATTGATACATTGATGGATTGTCCTGATTTAAATCTGACAGACTTTATCTACAAAAATAATTAGTACTCAACGATAAGTATACCATGTCTACTATGTCTCCGCGTCCCTTTCATGATAGTTCATGGAAATATTACTTATACAGTGAACCGAGCAAATGTAGATTGGATGTACTTGATTTCGAGTGTACAAACACAAGCTTTCAAATCGGCTGCAACACATAGTGTTTCATGTAATCGAAGCCCTCGAGTTATTCCGCTTCAGTGACACAAAAACAATAGCTCTGTTTACTTCGACCCTTGCACTAAAGTTTGTTTACTTTTCGATCGACCAAAAGAAGGCTCCTCGACGCAATTCAGCTTTTCTTTTTAGAGATAATGCCTAATAAATTTTTCAGTTCTTTGGACGCTAGAAAATAGAAAATTGAAAAGTCGTTACCGTGATAAAAATCAGCCATCTGGCATATTTTCATTCGGATGTGAAGGTATCAAAGTATCTATTACCGTAGATTCCTATCCACATAACTTATGAGCTTTCGAGATCACTGATTAGTTCACCAATTGGTCGTTGCGATAAGCAACTGAAAGATTTAACTACATCGTGTGCTTTATCTTTCATCAGTCGGCGCTAATTTTTGTACAAAATACAGAAAGAATTCAATTTTGAAAATATTTTTCTCTTTTTAAGCTGACGGAACGGTAAGTTTCTTCGGTAACGTAATTCAACGACGATAAACAACCATGCTTTGTAGAGCAGTTTACAATTTTATAGTAAAAGCTGGCTCATACCTTTTGAATCTCGTTCTCTAACTGGCCAAGTTTTTGCCTCAGTTCCGTATTTTGTAGTTCCAGTTGCTCCGCTTTTTGACTCGTCTCGGTCAAATCCGTCTCCAATTCGTGCATCCTTTCATCCTCGCCGATCTCGACGTTCTCAAGCTCGCGAACAACTTCGTTCTCCTTCTCGTACTTTTCCTCTAATTGGCCACTTTTCATTTTTCTCTCCTCTAGTAGTGCATTTTTCTCATCCAGCTCTTTCGTAAGGAGCTGAATTCGCTTTTTCATCGAGTCAATGTCGGTTTCATTCTGGCCCAATGTCGCCTCTACCTCTTTGCATTCCTCTTTGGCGTCGTGTTCCCTATTTTCAGCATCTTCAATTTTGTCTTTCATCTTTTGCATTCTCTCACGAACCTTAAGCAAAACTTCGCTCGACATTTTGAATAAATTCTTGATGAGCTCTGTCAACTTCTTCAGCAACGCGATATAAGTAAAGGAGGGGAGAGATGTTAAGGTGGTACCCCGTTTAAAGGTTGTGTCGAACGACCGTAGGTTCTCCTGGTTTATTTCGTCAAAGCGCGCAAATATTCCAAGAATGCTTCTGGGCGAGTCTTAAGTGGTCGGGAAAAGATAATTAAGGGGAACGAAACACAAAAATGAAAAGCTTCTTGTGACCCATTAACCTATTGTTAAATGGCATTGTATCGTATGACAAGTTTGTTCGAAATTTTTAGCATTTTGTCTAGTGAGCTTGTAGCTCAGTGCTGAAGGATTGAAACCTAAATTTCAGTTCAAAATGACTTGACAATATTTGTATCTGTTACTTAGAGCTTTGCTGAATATCGTATACAATTTAAACTTTTTGTTTAGACGCTCTTGAATGATACAAAATAATTATCCGCATTTTAAGTTACTAAATAAAAGCGAATTTAGCAATCGCATTTTAAGTATAATCGGGAAGGGGTGGGAAAGGTACAATTTGCTTTACATAACATTATTAACAATCTAATTGTCATTTCTTGCATGGTTGAGGTAAGTCTTCGGTCTACGCATATGGGTGTCTCTAACCAGCTCTGGCAGCTTATAACCTACTCTATAAGACTGATAATCTGGATTTGAAGGAACTAGGTGTTTAGCACCCAACCCTTCATAAGAGTTCCTTCGCTCGATTATCCCCTCCCTCTCCCATTCCGTCGGAAATTTACACCACATCCTGAAAAGCTCCTGCTACTCGCCTGTTTTCATTTGAAGTCACGGGGAAATGAAAAGTTTTGTGACGTTCAACACATGACAGTCATGTGAGGGCTTCATCTGCTATCATTGTTCGTATATTTCGGTTTACCTTTATTACATCAATGATAATCTCGACTACTGTGCTAAATCGATATAATCAAAAGTTGATTTGTTATGACTGGGGCAATAAATCACCATTATTTACATGCCTAGAATTGTACTATTTCCCATTGTGTGGATTCCTTCGCCGCATTCCACAACCGGAAGACAGGAAACGAAAGCATTCAGAGGAAAAACTCCAACAAATCGTCTTATTTTGGGTATGTTTCTGAAGCTAGCCCAAATATGGACAAACGATGGAACGATCTATTTCAATTTTGACATGCAGTCCAAGTTTGAAGACTACAAGCGAGGAGGTCATCATAAAGGATTTTTTTCTACTTCGCACTTCCATGTATAGAGAAAAGAGCAACTCTCTGTGTTTGCTCTTTAATTTCAGGGTCATATTCTAGATTAATCAGATGATAGCCCCGTTAAGTGACATCTTCAATATGGAAAGATGGCTCCAATCGATTAATCCTTCTGCCGGAGAAGGTCAATAGTCGTTTCTATGATTTCATAACACCATGCTTCTGAAGACTACAAAGCCGCCTCCAATGACAAGGATGTATATTCAACTTATTTTCAGGTTCCGGTCAAAATATTGGGTTGGGAAATTCCAGAATAAAATACAATTATGAACCTCGCTACTCTTTTAAAATCTTATCAAGCGCTCATCTGTTAATTGATGTCTCTCTACTTTGCGTCTAATCAAATATCCATTTGATGGCCGTCATTGAAATTGCTTAAAATTATTACTTCCACACCTACACTGGAATGTTTTTAACCACATAACACGGAATTGATAATAGAACTTTCTGGAAATTTATACAGACGAATTCCAGGGTTGTGTTTACGTCCTTTTACGGTAACAAACCACAGTGCTGAAGCGTATACTGCGGAGGTCTTAAAAATGCCTTGAAGGTCTGGATGGGGTTAACCCTTTACATCCTAATATCAGCATACATATTCTCCATAATGTTCTTCATAAATTTCCTAGGTGTTGACAAAGAGAATTTGTATAACAATCCACAGCAGTGATCATTTCCTCAATTCTTGTGACGTTAATGTTTTACTCAGGGGTGAAATCGTAAGGAGAAATTAGATGCTGGTCATTCTTAGGTGTTACTGAGTTAACTGTTAGCTGTAAAGCGGACAAAAAGTGGTGCCGTTAGGCGTTAAAAAATTGACAAATTTTAACCGTTAGTCGTAAAAAAGGTTAACAGAAATAATTTTCCTTTCTATAATTTCTCATTTCTGTCAATTTGGGCTAACTTAAGCCTTATAATGGCCAAACTTTTAATCGTTAGCCGTAAAAGCCATCACCCTCATTGAGACTCTATATCTTTGTAAGGGGTCATCTAGGCCCCAGTCTTTAGACGTGAAGTATCAAGTCACGGTTTCCTATTGATACCACTGTCTTCCTCTTTTTTGATGTTCCCAAAATCTGCCTCACAAAACACTGTTATTGCTCTCAGGAATGATATTCAACATTTTGGAGAAGAAGTTCTGGAATTCTTTTACGTTTGCTATTTTTCTGTTACTCGACACGCAGCTTGATGGCCGGACTGATCGAGTCCAACTTGGATAGTCTATGACTCAAGCGTTTCATTTAATTGCACACTGAGTACGATTTGAGAAAATTAACCTTCACTTTTACTTTGTGGAAACAGGATGCGCTTTAAGTAATAACCTCTCATTTGTGACAACTTTCAGTTTTTGCTGAAGGGGTTTTTTTGTAAAAAATCAATTTACGAGAAAAGAGACTAGAGTCCGAACTCCGTAGAAAATATGTATTAAACTTTTTCCATGAACCACAACATCTGGCTAAAATAAAAACTCCGAAACTTCTTAAATTTGCAAGCAAAGGGGTAACGAATTTAAGCGAACGGAAGCTCAAAAACAACATGCTAAAAATCCGTGAAAATAAACTAAAAGTATGCGACTAAATGTCCACGTCAGTTTTCCAATGTCAAGGTTAGAGTTCTTTGACGTGATTGGCCAATTTGTGAAATCACGTGCGCCGCGCGTGAATACAAAGAGAATACGACGGGGGGAGAGGAAGAGGAAAATTGTTATTTGAAATTTAAAAGCGAAAGAGATTTCTACAGTTTTCCCCGTTACCTAAAAAATTCTTTTTCATGACCATGTTAAGTATCAGCCTGATTTTTCAGAACAAATTATCCAAAAACTCCGTGAGTCAAGCTAAAAAAGAGCATTTCGATTTCGCCCGCTAACCTTATGTACGCGCGCAGAACTTGAGATCGAAATGCAAAATTATTTACATTTGTGACGTAACAAACTTCATTACTAGTTACAATTGTAAGGTAGATAATTTGAGATGATAGATTGTGACACAGTCTCGAGCAGAAACTGCCATGTGTGAAACAAAGAGCATAAATAGGTCAACATGAAAATTAATTATTCAATTTTAGTTCTTTGCCTTTTGGGATGTTATGTGAAATTGCAATCAGTTGCAGCTGTTGACTCCTCATTAGAAATAGAAGGTATGACAGTTATCTGTTGCAAAACTCCAAGAAAAATGCGTTAACTAAACTTTCATTCCGTTCCTTTCTTAGTTAAATGATCATACAGTACATGAATGTGTATTTAACGTTTTAATAGCGAAGAGTGGTCGGAACTCTGTTCACGAACAAGAGACAATGGTTACAGTTGAATTAGAAGATTCCCCAAAGATAAATGGTGTCAGGAATAGATCTAAACGAAACTTCGTCGCGTTCAAACGCCATCGGTGGTACTCGAAAACAATCCCATACATCTTGGACAAATCTTTAGGTAAGGATCATATCTAAGAATCAGATTTGTTGATAAGAACAAAAAGAATGTTCAGTCAGAAATATTAGGCTTATGCTAAGTAACTTTTGAAAACACATTTGAACATGAGGTAACGTAGAAACTTTCATTCTGCCTTCGCCTGGGTTCCAAGCTGATCAATCTTACCAGAAACGTATGACTGGTAGGTTACAAACCAAATGAGTGAGTCTCAGAAGGCCACAGTCGGCTTACACATGCATCGAGTTAATTTATCTTTCAAACGTTGTTTAAGAAATTAATGTAACAACTTCAAAATGTTCTGCAAAATACTTTAATTTGTAAATTATTTGAATACTAAGCTCAACCATACCATGAAGGGTAAAAAATCTCGCTTTATTTTAGGATCATCAGGGAAACAAGCCTTCAGAGAAGCCGTCAAGGAGTTTCGGGGAAAGACTTGTCTCAGATTCACTCCCTACACAAATGAGAAAGATTACCTTTGGGTTTATCGAGGATCAGGGTGAGTTAAAGGATGTAAAAAGTTCATTTACGAAAAAAGAGGCTAAAGTCTAAACTCCGTAGAAAATATGTATTAAACTTGTTAAGTGAACCACAACATTTAGCTAAAATAAAAACTCCGAAACTTCATAAACTTGCCAGCAAAGGGGTAACGAACGAACGAAAGCTCAAAAACAATTGACTAAAACTCCGCGAAAACAAACAAAAGTATGTCCACGTCAGTTTTTCAATGTCAAGGTTAGAGTTCTTTGACATGATTGGTTAATTTGTGAGATCACGCGCACCGCGCGTGAATAAAAAACGAATACAAAGGGGGGAGAGGGAGAGAAAAATTGTTACTTGAAATTTAAAAACGAAAGAGATTTTCTATAAAGGGAACGAATGGGGTAATGCCACTCATTATTCCGTGAGGATTGATTAATAACACATACGATCTCACTACCTTGTGGAAGGTCCACCCAAAGACGCCAGCCTTATAGAGCACACTAACTGTCGAAAACGCACCAGCACACGTTTCCTACCGATCACCTTTTTAATAATTCTAGAAAAACAAATCTCTGCAATCACATCTGCCGGTCAACTAACGGGCTGAACATATAAAACGACACTTTTCTCTAACAAAGAAAGATCCTAATCACGAGTTTCTGGTTGCTTATTCAAGTGTTTCTGGTCTCTTAATGCAACGCAACAACAACGAAATGATTGTCTACAGTTTTCGAAACCAATTATAAATTTTTGTTTGAAGCATACTAATGTAAATTTGGCAAAAATTCTATTGAGGCAATTTTTTAATATCAATCATTTTAAAGCAGTTTGTGGTAACGTTAATTAACATTTTATCTATGATCTCCATGACAAGATGGTTCATCACTACCAATTGACCCCTTCTCGCCAATAAGAAGGAAGGTGTTCTTCATCTGACTCAGCTATTAAGATATTATTTAGACTAGTAGTAATCGGAGATTAAGGAAATGCGTTCGGCATTTCAAAGGGGAAATATTTTTTGGTTATTGGGATAGATGAATATGCCTATGGTATATTGTCAAATAAAGGGTGAACAACCACGTCCTCGAACGTCCGACAAACTGCGATGCACGAGGCAGCATCCTTTGCGCAACGAAATTGTGACGTCATTCAAAATGGCGCTGAAAAGATGAACGGCCGGCCGATCGAACGAAAAAACACGGGTCAGCTTTCGCTTGCGTGCACAGGACACCTACGCGATCACATGTAGCCCAGGAGATTAGGAAGCGTTCTTCCTTCGTCGAACGCAACTATTGTATCAGGAATATTTCTCTCGATTGTTTCTCTCTCCCTCGGCGAAAATGGGTGAATTGCACCCTCCATCTGTAGTCGCAGAGATTGGCGATAGCACTGCTATTACCTTTAGTGTTTTGAAAATATCTATCTATGGTATAGATGCTCCTCCGTTACTGGGAGATCTGGCGGCAACCAAACTATGTCTCTTGGAGAGGGTTGCCATAGAAAGGGTGTTGTCATCCACGAGCTGCTGCATGCACTGGGTATGACGCACGAACATTGCAGAGCCGACAGAAACGAGTTCATCAGGATCAACATGGAAAATATCAAGAAAGGTAAGCATCTTTGATCCAATGAAAGACCGAGTCAGAGTACTGAGATTGCAGTAGAAGAGGCGCTTTTGTCCCCTTTATTTACGTTGTATACCAGAGATCAGTCAAACCTTTTTAAGGGGAGTTTTTAAAGTTCTTCTTCGTTGAACCTGTATCTGTTGAGTCAATATCTGGATTTAACTGGATTTTAACAGGATGTGGCTTTTCTTATTTTGATGTGACAAGCCCTTTTGCTTGTACGCGTCAGTATTTATTCAGAGAGCGATTAATGCTGCCACAATAGTAGTCATATAATGATGATTTCATTTTTACTTTAGCTCAGGTTGAGTGTATCGAATTCGAATTAAATCTGTTATAGATCTAACGCCTTACTAAGGCTACTAAATCTGGTTAGGGGCCCATGACAACAATGAGAAATAATCAGGCAGTTGTCTAAAAGAAATATTTCACCACATAATAACAAAGTCTTGCCCATACGCTGTTATGATTTTCCTTTAGATGCCAGGATTGAGTACCGGGTATGGAGAGGTTTCGTTACTAAAGAGCCTTACGACTATGGATCCATAATGCACTATGGGTTCAACTTCTTCAGCATCGATCCCAAGAAACCAACCATTGTCAAGTTAATGCCTGGTGGTAAGCAGATGGGCCAAAGAAAAGGATTCTCAGATCTTGATTTGAGAAAAATTAACAGGTTCTACAACTGTTTGAATTACATTAGTAAGTATATTTTTGACAAATAAACGGATTATTTGGCAGAGTTCCTTGAATAAATGTCTGAAAGTTGTCTATTTTTGCTTCTTTTGTTTTGTTTCGTTTCCTTATTCAATTATTTTTCCAGAATCAATTCCAGCGCCCGAAAAGGAAGTTTTCAAGATAGTGTCAGGTAAGGGGTTTCAGGGAAACAATCACGACATGTATTTATTTCAATGCCATCTCGTTAGATAAAAAACACCACCACCCGGCAAAATCTAGCCAGCAAGTAGCAATTAAGCCAATTTCGGGCTGGAATGTTTTTTATTACTCCTGGTCTTGCTGGTCTCTGGGAATAAGCTCCGGCAGTTATGGACAACTTGGCTCCGAAGGCATGACCTTTCTGCATAAGGCATTACCCTCCTATATACCGGACGCCGGGTTTAACTATCAAGACTTCATAAATTTTGGCACATTTGCGCAAACTTTCTATTTCCCTTGCCTCTTGCTAAAAGTAGGCTAACTTTCCTCAATTCTTAGCTTGCTGGCTCGTGAAGGTTTTGAGAGGCAAAAATGAGTTACGAATTCTCGTGAGGAATGGAGAGGGAAACTTAAGAAAGATTTCCCACTCGCAGTTTCGCGTTTTGCTTCAGCTTCGTCGCCTTCTCAAAACCACCTATAGAACCACGTGTTAGCTGGGTCTTTTTCAATGTTTCTCTGTACACCGATCCTTTTAACTTTACATGTAGGAGACTGTGACTTTGAGCAAGGATTTTGTAATTGGGAAAACTGGATCAACAAAGAACAAGATCAATTTGATTGGAAGATAGGGACAACTGTGATCAAAACTTGTCCTGGAACAAACCTGCAACACCCTTCTAAACCGTTCGTTACTGGTAAGATTATTCGCACAGCTTGCCTTTGATCTTAATGCATGTATCTTTATGTCAAAAATAACAAAAACTGACATGTCGAATTAGCGTGTCAATGATGTTACCACGTCCGATCACAATTTTTTTTATTTTTTGTTGTGGGAAAGACCATATTTGCCTTGATCACACATTTGAATAAGAATGCTGCGCATGGCACCTGATAATTATATTCCATACGTATAGGCTACACTTCCACCAATAAAGTCGTGATTGTGCTAAACATTATGTAGTTTTTATTGATAAACAAGCATCCCCGAGTAGGTTTGGTCAGAAGTGATCATACCGATTACATCACCTAAGGCATAGTTTTTCACCCGAGATTATTCCACTGTTGCAAGTAACGAATGACGAAAAGTAAACGAAAGCCTTCCTCTGTGGCTGTCGCGTTTGTGTTTTGGATAAAGGGGGACAAGTTTCTAAAGAAACTATGGTGCTGCGTCAGTGGGGGATGTTACTAATAACTTTGGTTTTATCAACTGGGTTGATGGAGAGTTTCTAGAACTGACTTTTAGAGCTAAGAGGGATTTAAACTTCGTGTTTAGACCATCGATCACTTCGTTTTTAAACAAGTTAATTCTCTTTCAAGGAAGTTTCATCTTCTTCGATAAACCGCTACGCAAACCCGCCGAGTACATGAGCAGCAGCGTGCTTTCTAGTGAAGGATTCTTCACAGGACTGAACTGCCTAAGTTTCCACTATTGCATGCAGTCAGGTGGATATCTGCGAGTGTTTATAAAGGAGGCCGAGTCAAAAGAGAAGAACCCGTATGTTTTGATCTGGGAAGAGATGGGTCTGCAAGGAAACAGACTGGACAAGATGGAGAAAACGATTTCAGGCAATATGATCAAGGTTGAATTCTTTTTCTTTTAAAACATTTTCTTTCTATAAGTTCGTCACTTTATTACTTTACTTCCTAAAGCCTGGTTCTGATTCTTCGTCGCAAAATGTAACCAAATGAAGATATAACTGCGAGCTTTTCAGGAGCGCTCTTGTAAAAAGGTAGTGCATGACTTAAATTAGCATCTTGACAATCATCTCTGAACTTTCTCTTTTTGAGAAGATGTTTAGGCTTTTTTATGAAAAATAAACCTCATGAATATACAAAGCTATAACAGCTATGCTATGGTTAAATAAGCTTGGTTAAATAAGCTTGGTCTTTGAATGATAGAAAGGAAACATGAAAAACCTGAGGTCCTCTAAGAGGACTCAAGCATTTGAAAGAGCGATGAATGAATCCTAGAGGGGCTCAGACAAAATACTTATCTTAGTGACGTGTTTGTCGCTCAGCTACTTTTATATTTTTATAGATTTATATCGAAGGAATAAAAAGCCCTAATCAAGATGGATTTGTCGCCGTTGATGACATTAGCGTCAATCAGGGAAAGGCTTGTGTTGGTAAGTGCTTTCTAAAGAAGCTGAGACAACATACCCATCTATCAAATAATTTAGCACCGTGGCTTAGTTGTATTGGGGTATGCTTCAAAAAGAAAACAAATAAAAAACAGAAGAAATGAACCAGGGAAACAAACAAACAAAACGATTTATCGAATAGAGAAGCGATCCTCGCAGTTATGGACACTACTGAACTAGTAGTGAAAATAAGGCCTGAAAAAACGGCATTTGAACCCATGACCTCTGCGATACCGGTTCAGATTGAGAGCATGCAAAACGACTTATATTTATAGAGTTAGGTAGGTGATTGTAAGTCTATCGGGAAGCGCAGCTTGCAACGTTTAAGTGGCAAACGATATAGTTTAAGTATCTTGTTCATTTTCCTTAGTTAGGATGATATCTCCCGTTGGAAACAGGTCACACCGTACTCAGGGCTGCGAATGTTACAAGTCGTCCACGTTTAAAAACGAAAGATCAATTTAAGCGGAAATTTCAGTCCACAGTAGATCAAGGAAACGATGGAAAAGAGTCAGAACCTATGAATTTTCCATAATCTTTCTCTCGTGTTCTTTCTAGGGTAATCTCGATCCGGCCTTTCTGGGTAATTCTTTCGAAAGACTGAATAGCATCGAGGTACTAATCTGCAGATGGGCTGACTGATATAGATGTGGCTTTATGAAGCGTTTGTGGTGCTTTGAAAGTGATGACATTTCATATCTATTTCATCTTTTAAAAATGAATTTCTCATCCATTATAGGAAGGTTAAGCAGCTGGAAAAATCCATCGAGCCATCTCCGTTTTTTACAATGGTACACGGCTGGGAAAAAAAAGCATGTAGCTAAAGCATGCAAACGAACAAAAAAACAAAACTGAGAGAACGACGTTAACAACCTTTTTTTTTTTGAGAAAAAATGTTGAGTATGTTTATTAATTCCATATAATCAAAGCTCCGTAGTTTCATAATCAATGAATTGCGTTAAGTCTGGTTATTTTATATCTGTCATAAACATCAAGACCGTAGTTAAGCATGTGTTACCAAAGAGAACGAATGTAAGGAGAGTTCGCGGACAGGTACAAAAATTACCAACGGAAAGACACCGTTCCCAGCAGGGTCTAATTTCAAAACTCTCCCTTTTGCGAATTCTTGCTACTTTGCCTCAGAGGAGAAATCTATCATAATCGTCACTTCCGTGATGTTTGCTAATTATTGTTTACCCAACTCCACCTGACTGAAATAAGAATAATATACATTTATCGTTCCTCAAAAATGTTCACATTTGATTAAAGATGTTTCTTATTTTCAGCAAAGTCACAAAGTTACTCATAGGATATTCCAGCACACGCGTTCGTTTCATTTCCTGACCATATTTCCGTTGCATCATGGCCTTCCAAAACAAGCATTAGAGACACTGTATCTCTCTACACATGATAAAAAATAGTCTGGTACGACATTTCTTCAAGTACTTTCAGGGGTGCACCTCTACCCTAAGCACCAGTCTTTCAAATTATCAAATGGCTACAGAACGACGTATATCTCGGAAGTAAACAACCTCCTGTCGAAACTGATTCAATCTAAAATATATATTGTACATCTTTCATCGTGTGTTGTTTTTTTAAGCACACATTACAAATTGCCCATCATATGATTTGAGTTATTTTTCAAAAGAATGCCATAAAACCAACTGCAAATGTGCTTTACAAACTCGTGATGATACAAGCATCACCGAGAAACATTCTTAACCCAATTTGCTACTATCACAGAAGCTGAGCATAATGTTGAAACACAGTGTCTGGCTGTTCTTAAGAAAAGGGAAACAAGCGAGGTTTGCAATTTTGTGCACCTAAGATAACAATAAATCTTAGAAGGACGGCGACATAAAGTCTTTATGTTAAAAATAATAATAATAATTAAAAAAAATTAATAACCGTGAACTAAATGACTGACAAAACTCATTCATGCTGCTAATAAAATTAGGACATGAAAAGTAAGAGTTTTAAAAATGCTTCGTAAACAAGACTTTTCAACATTACCAAAGCTGCAATTGGGTACGGTACGCTACTTTATCCTTCCAAGTAAACTGAGCTGTCCACCACCCCCCCCCCCATACTTTTTTCTTCCTTTCATAAGCGGCTGTCGATGAAATTGGATGTCTTGATTCCTAACTGCATTCGTGTTTGCTCGATTTCCCCATCAAAAATGGTTTCATGTCCCTTGAATACCTGAGCAGCCTAAACACTTGTTTATCATGAAGGCCTTTACCTGAGTGACATACGTCTTTCATATGATCTACTTTCCTGATAGGAAGATAAACACCGGGGGATTTCAGAGAAGCATCTTTAAAAGTTGTACGATTTAGATCATGCTAAAGAGATCTTGCTGATAGCAAGATCCTTTCAACCAGATCATACATCTTTTTTCTTAACTCATGGCAGATCTGTTACAACTGTGTTAACAAAGATATATTACACAGGGATAACACTAAATTTACGCAGGCTTCACGTTATAAAGTATGGCTTGCTTAACAGTCATATTTGATATGAATACGTTATATTATAATATGAAAAAAAGTGATCTGTGTACTCTTAAATTTTGTCAATAACTTGATATTTGATATCCATTTTTACTACCAAACACTAACCTTCTGTTAGCCACCTTGGTTCTAGAGAGCCTGCATTTACTTCTTATGGAGCTTTCTTGGTCATGTTAAATATAATTCGATATTTACATGCATTTTCTGTCTTTACGTTCAACTGCATGCGCTTACCAAACAGCTCTTAGGGCATCTGCCCCTCCTAACTCTCTGAAATAATTTTAAGACCGGCCAATGCTATATTTATGAATTTCGTTTTACATTTCATGAAATGATCCGTTGAAAAGATATGTGAATATCGGAACAATTTACGCAGGGTTTTCCAAAATGTAAAATTAATCAAGAAAACTATCCGAGTTTTATTTTTTACTTAAGCGAGTAATCCGATTTTCATTTTCAACGTTTGCTTTACAATTAGCCCATTTCAGGTGGCGTACATCAGCCCTGCACGATGTTGTTTAGCAAAAAAGAAAAACCTCGCACTTATTCATCTGTCAATCTTCAAATTTGCCTCCATCCACCGAGTATACTCGTTCACATTCGTGTAAACACCATATTTGTGCGGCAACGCACACCTCTCTCCCCAGCTCACTATGCCTGCAAGCATCCAGGTGCCGTCCCCGCTCGGATCTGGACAGGCCAGCGGTCCCCCGCTATCGTAAGAGCATGCGTCAGTGCCACCTTCCTTGAATCCGGCACACAGGAAGTTTCCTCCCACTGCTCCGTTGTACGAACTAGAAACACAAGAAACAGCTAACATAAGCTTCTACATTGGTCATCCACTACTTAAAGTTTGACATGCTTTTTCGACCATTACTAACCGGGGAGAATTGCAGCCTTCTTTTCCCACCAAATCAACCCACGCCTCTCTCAGCACCGGCGAGGAACTTCCTTGCCAATAAGTGTGTCCCCAGCCAGTAACAATGCAGCGTTTACCCGCTTGGAAGTAGTTGAAACTCTCTGGCAGGCAGATCTTACTAACATGGCTGCCGAACTTCAGTGAACCAGCCATACGCACTAGCGCTGGAGAAAAGCACATAAACACCAGATATAACCCAATCCCTCTTTTATATATGACCAATTCACACTTAACATGTTTGTTTGTTTGTTTGTTTTTCCAAAGAAAATAGAAGACAACCAAAGCGCTCAAATTATCATGATCATAAAACACCGACAGAGTTTTTAACTTCTGGATGACACCGTCTTAAGCAACTTCCTCGTGAGAAACAGCAATGGATTGGTTGCATTGTTTTTGTGCTATTCCCTTACTCGAGTTTGCAGCAACAGAAAATTTCATTTAGCAAAAAAGAAATAGCCCATCTTCTAATCAAATAAATCTTCACACAACGTAATATGGATGAAACATAACGTGAATCAAAATTTCAACTACTGACGATTCCCTCTTACGCGCTTACTCATTTTCAGGAATGTAATGTAGAAATAAAATAACTGACCTGACAAACGAAAGAAACAGTAGTATATCCACGAGTTCACCGCAGTGTGATTTGATCAGGTCTATTCGTGCCTTAAGTACAGTAAGTACTTTAGTAAGATCCGTCCCTTAGTAAGAAAAAGAGACCCCGTAGCCTTACCGATATCGTTGTCACCGGGGTGGGAGGAATTACTTGGCTTATAGTTTGGGTGAATTAGTATTTGTTTGACGTCAAGCTTTTGTTCTTTCCCTTCCTCTCTGTGAAGTGAATGTTCACCAATGTGCACCTCCCAGTCTGAGGGTTTCTTTGATGTTTGTTCATCTAAGATTCAAACCACATAAGTTCTTGGTAAGTGCACATAAAATGGACTGATGAACTGATAGCCTGTGAACATTTTGCATCCATTTTTTTTTGGTTCAGTTTTATCGACCTCAACATAATAAAAAGCATAATTTAGATTAACCCGTACTAAATTACAGTGGTTTACAATTGCAACAGGTTCCCCCCTTCCCGTGCACATTCCCTCATTTCAGAAACTTGAAACTCAGTTTTTGTAAGAAACCTCTCTTTGACTAACTTAAATACCTTTTCTCGCATTACGTTCATTTTTCTTTTCTAAAGCGGTGGGAGGGGAAGGAAATGCTCTTAAGCTCTTATTCCTTGTAAAATGTACCACATAAACAATAATAGCAAAACTCACTGAAACATTGAGTGTTGTAAGGACCACTTTTGTAGTCATTGTAGGCCGTTTTATTGAATATAGTTGATGTTCTTTAGTGTAAGTTTACTCGGATCTTAGGAATACCTGTAACTATTACACGAGTTTATGCGGATATAGATATTTGTACTAATGACGATGGGGATGAGTTAGAATTATTCAACTTACTAAAGCAATGTGCAGCGGTCACGACCCAAGATGGTTTTATGATGGTTGCTCCGCAGGTAAGCTTGGTGCGATTAAAGAACAGAGCAGACATCCACGGCCAGGAGTTAGGAACGCTTTCTTGTCCTCCCACAATCCTTCGGGAGCGAGGATTGTACAAACCCCAACGTTTTCCACAATCACGAGTAACTGAAAAGAGTCGAAATGTTTCTCAAGGTAAAACTTAAGAAGACGTTCTGATTTATTCCCAGTTGCAAAGGAGCTCTGCTACAGAGTTTAGGGTGAAGTGAAATTGTTTGTTAAATGCCAAGAAACAATTTCAAAGCTGTTTCTTTCAAGTCTTCGTTTCTCATTTTTCTCAGTAAAGTACGAGGGAGACATCGAGCCGGAATCACGGAAATCGGCAGACCTTTTCTACCTCGCATGCTTAATGCTCTAAAGATCTTCAAAACAAAGTAGCGAAGCCACCACTTTTAAGAAAAAGTCAAAATAGCCTTTCTCCCAACGGAGAGATTAAAGAGGAGCAGGAAATTCTGTGTTCATACAGACGGCGAGGAAGAAACCGGAAGAGGTCTCTCCTAGGGCGAAGTTAGGGCCAAAGCACGGGACAGGGTGCGGCAGTGGCAAGTTTGTTTTTTGCCTTGTGTACCAACCCAGAGCAAAAGTTGAACAAAAAAAATCAGCAAAATAGAGCAAATTATCCTCATTTCAGACAGAAGACCGGTTATCTAACCTGTTGAAGTTCTACACTTCGGTTTTCCTCCTCCTCTGATCCTGGTCCCTTGAATCTGTTTTCCTAGCCGGTCCACGCACCAACAGGCTTTTGTTTTCCTGTTACATTGCAGAACTCTAAAGTGGCCGTTTGATTTGCACTTTGGCACGAATACTCCAGGGTTGTTCTTTCTTTTCCTCAACCTGCGTTCACGCATTCGCTGGCAGCGGGTTTTTCCCTTTTTGGTGGGATTTTCGTCTGTAGAAAAAGGTTTTTAAAACATGTCAGCCTGTATTACGGAAATCGAAATAACATTTTTGGATTTCATACTATAATAATGGTGGAGATGTGAACGTTGCTGCGACACTACAAGACGAGCAATGGGATACCACATTCATAATTAAGTCACTAATCAGGATCTATGAGGCAATGTTCTTTTAGGAACAAGCGTGCCTTTCGTGAAGAAAATCCACGTGCTAATTCTATGCCGTGTAGTAAATTATAATGTGGAGGTTCACCGTGAAAAGAGATGTTGGAATCACCAATTCTACTCCTTCCCATCTTGGTGAAATTCGTTTTTGCCTCAGGAAAGTTATTAATAGTAAATGAGAAATCAAAACTAAAAACATCATCGAAAAAGAATGAATAAATTACCCATTTCGTCCTCTTCCAGGTTTGGGTATTGCCGGACGTTTCTGGGTTTTCTTTTCCACGCCTGAGGTTGATGACGTTCAGAGTTAGAGGAAAACTTAATGGTGACATCGGTTTCTTGAAACTTTTCTCCTTGTGCATTAACTCTCCAGCATTTCAGTGGCGTTGTAGTTGTGCACTGGATTTCCCTGAAGCTTCCGTCCGGATTGCACGCTGGCGAAAAGCCACGTCTCATCAGCGCTGCCTCGATTTTTTGTAACTGACATGTCGTGTAGTTCACTACGAGAAGAAATAACTTATATATCATGTTTCATAGTGAATGATCCAAAGCCATAATGTATTACCAACAGCAATTGTGAAGGAAGATTGCCGCTTCACTGCTTACTTTAGCAAAGAATACTCAGCAAAGGCCATTTCACAAAAATTATGTAAAAGTGGAGTTGCGCCCAAAAACTATAAAATTTTCTGAAATACTTTCTTTCTCAGTTCATTTTCGCGATTAATAAAAACCGCTCTGGATAATTCTCCTAGTTCAGAAACTGGCATGCCTCTTTTAGGAAAAAAGGATTTTTCAAGGAAAAGTTTGCCATATATTTTCACCTGATAAAGTCAAAACATTTTAGGAGCAAATCGTTAAAAGTGTTGGAGAAGTTATGGGTTCGCCGATTTGTTGTCGTTTCAAATCTTCGCGCGTTTAGAATCATACAAAGAATATTTCATCGCCAACTTTTTTTTTTTTTTCCAATTTTCGAAAGGACTTCTCACCAATTCTCGCTCACTCGCTCGCTTTTTCTCATCGCTCTCGATTGACCGAGGACCCGGCAGAAACTCATAACACAGGTATAAATTAGTCCTTACCACAAGTTTGCCGGCAGCCGGTTTTACAACAGTATTGCCATCTTTCACACTGAGCATTCAGTAAACAGTCGATTTTACATCTTCCTGCTGACGGATGAACTGAGTTTGGACAGTGGTCTGGGAAATGAGAAGAAGGACTTTCATTCTCTTTTATTAGGAAAAGTTAGTTGGGCTGTTGCAATGGCCACGTTGAACCTCTCCTCTGAGGGAATTAAGTTCGTCCCCAGGACGCCATAGAAAGACTCAACGTGACGCTTACCGCAGGCAACCTAAGCTAAAATGTTAGTGTAAAGCTATAGCTTGAACCTGGGGTGCCTGTATTCACATTCTGTACAAAGAGAACTTCCAGTACCGATCCACATAATCAAAACTTTATTTTAAAATAACTGCAAATATCAACATTTGGAGAAAATGACGTGACCAGTGACAACATTGTGACGGCAATCTTTTTTACATCAGTTCTACACGAAAGTGTCTTCTTGCCCAAACGAGAAAAAAAAACTATGAACAGATTTGGAGTAATATCTATCATCAAGATAACAAACAAAAGAATGGTTGGAGCGATTCGGTCGTCAGTGCACAAGCTTTGCTTTTCTTTTTGCGTGACAGGTATTCGCTAATACAAACAAGTACTTTAGCCTTCGTGTAATTTACGTCAGGAGTGGTCAATTAAGCTCCTTTAAACATTTATGCCGGTTGTTCGCTCGTAATACGGTCATTATATAATGTCATTCATTTTTAAATTACTTTAGTAGCTCTAGACATCTACACGCAATTATTTGAAACTAAAATTCGTACAGTCTTCGATACTTAGAGGTCTGATAAACATATCGTTGAAAATGTTAACCATGAAAGAAGTCAAAGAACAGGCTTAAAATGTGCTTTTTCACCCAATGGTTTGTCTATATATGCCTGGCTGGTTTCACAATTTGTATCAACAGACATGGATCTTGAAGTCATTCCTTAATGATCGTTATTCATCTGACGTCATCCTCTTTCGTAAGGACACTGCAATTATATACAAACTATCATAACCACCGAGCCTTACTGAAGCTCTCAAAGCAGAACAATTGAAAAGGCGTCAAATTGACGTTACTTCAAGTGAGAAAAGTCATTTCAGACGCTTAAACATCGAAGAACACTGCAAAAGGAATTTTCTTTCACAAAAAAGGAATGCAATGCTTTATTTCATCCACAAAAACGCTTATGAGTACTTAAATGACAACAGTAACCGCTATTACAATATCGTCAAAGCCATGCCTTCTCATTTGTCTTTGATCACGAAATTCTACTGATCAGCCCACCACACATATGGATTAAGAAAAAACAATATATAATTATATCAAACGTCGCTTTAATATAGTAATTTATAGTCTGTCATTAGTTTCGGCGGCAAAATCAACATTCAATACAGAACAAAAATCGTTCCTAAAGCTATTTTAAGAAAACAATAACGTTTCAGTAAAATTTTTTCAATGACCTATATTATCTTCCAGAAAAACAAATGCAAACGACCTATGAACTTCCGACGGAAGTCTTTTCTCAAAATTTTACCTCAGGAAAACAAAAATGTCTTTGATATATAAAAAAAAGGATAAAAAGTCTCGCTCAAAAACCATTTTAGAAAACTGACATCAAGTGCACTTAACGGAAAGCTATGTCAAAACAACTGAATGCTTTTAACGGGTAACAGCCTATTTCCTGCGGGCTTAAACGACGTCAGAAGTAGTGAAAAGCTTGAACAGCGTATACGAAGGTGGCACGCGTTTTCATAGAAACTACTATACGAATGTGTAATTAGCATGTGTTTCGTAGCCTAATTGTATCGATAATTTAGCTCGATTTTTTTTCATGCGTAGGAGCTCGTTATAAGAAGCTATATTTCCGATCAACAAACAAGTGATCATTTTGATTCAAAAACATCTCACAAATGACCGGTATTTCGGTGTAAAAGTGGTAAATGCCTTGTCATTATGAACTACAGTCTTGAAATAAAATGGGCACTCACAAATTGACAATAACGAAACCAGACACTTAATAAAGTATCAAAAACCACTTCCATCAAATATACTGGCGCAGGAGTCTCTGTTAAGTTTTGATGATGAGAGGATGGTTCAAATATCTACTGTGGCACACGTAATTACAGCTACTAAACAGAAAAATGTGATGCGGTAAATAAAAAAATTTACTACAAACACGGAATTTGGATCAACACCGGCTTGATGTTAAATGGTTTCTCCGTGCGACAGTAAAAACCAATTTTGATGGTATCGAGAATTTCAGTCATACCTACATTACCGTTTCTAGATAAAAAACGTACAGAGGATACTAAACAAGGAGAAAGCGATTTTCATGAGGGATTCTTAAAAAAGAACTTCAATCATATGAGAAAACCAAAAATGGCGATTCGCGTCTGCTACAATTTTCTTTTTCTGTTTCAGCAGATTTGAATGAAGATTTATATAAATCGATGCGAGTCTCCACCCGCTTGAGAATACGATGATGGGCTAGAGAAAGTCGTATTGATTATGTCAGACGATATTTGTCTTTTGCTTTAATTAAACGACTTTGAATTAATTGAATTCTATAAATTCTCTTGATTGATCCTAAAAAGTGTACAACTGATCAGTTTTACCGACTCAGCACTCGTTCATTTTTTTTCTGGCGTGCCGGCTGTCAGGTATACCAACTCAAACAGGCTTTAATACTGTTTGCACACATACAATGGATATGAACCTTACCTCGTCATTACCTCAAACACACGTTATTCACTTAAAGATGAAGTTTGAACTTTGGAAATAAAACTGCAAATAGTTTTAAAATTTCTCTATCTGCTCTCACATTTCCTAAGTCCAAGTGACCTTTCTCTCGTTCTCTCTCTAAGGCTGTGTTCTCTTACACAGCGCTAATCTTTTTTTAGTACCATTTGCTATTCGCTAATAGTTATCTCAAGTAGTTCTTCTCAAGACTAAAATTTCCAAAGACATTCCTAAGACTACAAAAGGCACATCATTAGTGCTGCAGGTTTGGAATTCTTGTCACGACTAATTCTTGTCCGCCCAAAGTGTGGACACTTGGACCAAGTAGTGGTATACATATTTCGTGCATTCCTACCAACGAGCAAAATAATAGTATATGCCATGCCACGAAGATATAAAAGTGAAAACGTTTACTTATTTGAACATTATTCTTGGATAACTTTCCCCGTAAATGTGGCGCAAATGAAATAACCAAAAAGTTAATACGCTGGGAATGAAAATAAAATACAGTTGGCTGAAGAAGAGAAGGCAACTCGCAAATATCGACGTTTGGAAGCTAAAACGAGCGGGAAAGAACGTCAGAAAAAATTCGTCAAAAAAAAAAAACGAAATTCGAAACCTATTTGATCGTTAATTATCGGAGCCATCAATAAACGACGAAACAGAGACCACTTAGAAATATTTATAGCTGCTCTTTCATTTAATTTACGCAAAAACACCGCACAATGAAGTATTTACACAGCATGGCATCTAATATAATTTCCTGATGAGCCGACTAGCCACGTTAATATTGAACAGAACTTGATTGAGTCGTAAGGTGTAATCAATATGTTTCGAAATATCCTGCAATTATTAACAAGTTTTTGTTTATAAGCAATTCCCGTTGCTACAAATTAATATCATATCGGGCTACATCATTTCTGTTTTGAGCCGCGATGAATAATCATTTTAAGCACTTTGGTGAATAGTACTGTTTTTTTCTTCTTTTCTTTTTTTCCACCATTTATTGGCACAACGGAATTCAGTATAAAATTCACCCTCCCAATAAATATACGCGTCAGATTTTAAACTCAAGTTCCAAAACAAATGTTTCTATCTGATGTTCTTGCCATGTAAATTTTGTCTGTTGATTCATTTTTTTATACCGAACTTGAACTTGGAAGCAATTAACTTCAGTCAGACAAGTGTTTTTATTTCTACGTCAATCGCCTTTCATTTCTTGCTACTAATTCTAATTGTGGGAAACCAAGGCGTCCCTACCCTTTGTCCAGTGAAATACTATAATCAAGAGCTAGTTTTACCCGCATAAACCATAATAGTGGTACGTTTCAAATACTATAATCAAGAGCTAGTTTTACCCGCGTAAACCATAAAAAACATAAAACTTCTAAAACGAAATAAAGAAAACACAAGTTTGGGCCGACAAAATTCTATCCAACGGCTGAACACTGTCAGTTTTGGAAATACATACAGTTTAGCTTGTTAAATATTGGTATTTTCGGCTGCTAGCAGAAAGAGCAAAATAAATTATCTTAGCAATTTGCGTACACCATTTTTAACCTTCATAAAGATGCTCTTTGAGAGTAATGTTAACTAAAATTTTCATACAGCTTTCAAACAAGACAACCCAATATTTTGGTACAACAAAGACGCCTTTCAAGTTGTTTTGTAGAACGTAACTTTTATTTGTTACTTGTCACTTAATTGTTGTTTGTCTCGTCGCCAACCGGGATTTTAAAATTCTACTCACGTGCGCGAAGTAATTAGTTTCAGGCCATTACACTTTGGGCTGTCTGAGTCATAAGCTGCACGCGAAGGCATGGCGGGCACAAAATCTACTGCATGATTTATACTGAATATATTGGAAGCAATGTCTTGAATTTTCTGCCAAATAGTTGCAAAATAAAGGGATGAAACTGTAATGATCACGCATTAGAGGTGTTAATTGGCTCATCGTGTAGAGAGCTCATGGCCATTTCCATTGACCGACTACCGTTTAATTTAGGTCGTTAGATCCTCAAATTGTGCCTTTCCTAAGGAAACTATAACAAAAAGTGCCCTGACCTGTTAAAGAGCACTTTCAATTTGACATGCAGCGATTAATTTTAAGAATTACTTGAGCAACGGAACACTTAGCATCTTTAGTTCGAGAAGCCAAAATTGTGTCTTTTGTCTTGTAAATGTTGCAACACAGAATTCTAGAATTGACGGGTCATTCATTTTGACCTGAGGTGTTGAAAACGTAATGTCTGGAAGGTGTCATAGATTTTGTTACAAATCACAACGGTCCCAAATCTTCTTTTGGCGTTTATTGATCATTTTTGGTTGATAACCAATGCTTAGACCTCGACGTTTGCCCTGAATATCCAGAGGCTGGTTGCTTGCAATGCACTTGAAATTGTTATAGCTGGACGCAAGCCAGGAAAATGTGCTCGGTTATTTGACGTTGAGACTGGGAAAAAATCCGCGCAGAATGAATTTAAAACGCCAACAAGGTCCGAGACTACCTCCGTTTGGCCTCACCTAGCTTTTACTACTTCCCAACAGAAACGCTCTTTAGTTGTACATGTACGATCGTTCTTAGTAAAAAAAAAACAAAAAACAAAAAAAAAACAGTAGTCATAAAAGACAACATTTTTTACTTCGCAATATTTCACTCGGCCGGGAAGTTTATCCGTAGGACTCGACTACTCCCCTTAAAAAAAAAAAACTTTAATTTTCATTTCGTATACGTTGTGCATTTGGTTCAGTATTTCAACATTTAAAAAAGATTAGCCCAACCGAGTTTTTTCGCAAGTCGAATGTAGCTAATTAGTCCGGCACATGTACAGAAAGCTATAACACTACTGGAGCGGCCATGAATAATTGAAACTTTTTCAGAATATAGTTACATAACGGCGGGAGACTGCAAGCACGTACTAGATGCGATAAGAAATACCACCAAACCTCAGTCTGCCATAACTAGGTTATAAAGGGTGTCTGTGATTCTTTATTTTTTTATCTTTTACATTTTTTTTAAATTTTAATATCGTACTATCGCGCACGAACAAGAACTGAGCATGGAAAACGTTACAAGTTTGAATAGCACTGACTATACATGTGTCAGTATGCCTTCTGATGACAGGGCCAATTCCCAATCGCTATGTGGCAAAACTAGGCACGTTTAGCTGGTGTCGTTTTAATTATCAAACCATATCGTTGATTTACTTTTCAACTGTAATACTATATATAACACATGCCTGATAAGATATAGTTCTGATTAGGTTGTTTCTTTCACACGAATCTAAGAAAGTTCTAAACTCCTGCGCGAAATGAATCCAGCATTTATCTCGGCTGCCTCAGGATAATACGCGAATTTTGGCCCAATTTGTATCAAACGGGTAAAACTGGTTCTCGGCAACAAAATACTAAGACATACATACTTTCATTCAGATCTTCACATTTTAGTCTTTTGTTGAAATAAGTCTTGGGATTATCAGAAGACAGATAAGGATCGATATTGTATTCAGGAGAAAAATATCATCGCAATGAAGACGATTGTATCATGTCGTTTCCGAGAGGATTTTGAAGAATCTCCTTAAGAGGAGGAGATGAAATTAACTGCAGATTTTGCGTTAAGATTCTTACATTTTTTGGATACTCTTGAGAGTTTCATTCTCTTCTTAAATTTTTTTGGTGTTGTCAGTGAGTTAAAAAAGTTTCTGGAAAAATTCGTATCTTGTGCACCTACGCATTGTAATAAAGGAAATGTTTTATCGTCGACTTCCGCGGGAAGGAGAGATTTTTGTCGCATTGCTCTGCTCGGAAGCCACAGCAATTACTAAATTTGACAGAAATTTGTCAATTTGGATCGTGTTCGCCATTCTTGAAATTTGTTATCAAATGATTCTTGAGCAATATTTAGCACATAGCACAGAGTGAAACTAATCGAAAACAGAGTAACGACGGAGAGACGCAATTTCTACTCTCTTTGAGTGAGCCTTTATCATCAAACGTCCTAAGCACTTCTGAAATTCAAATTGCGTAAAAAGGAAACTGCTACAGGGTGTGCAGATACTCAACTAGTTTCAGTTGTTCTGACTGAGGTATTGACGAGATTTTTGAGATATCCGGTTTCCTTAAGTAATTCGTTTCGCATCAATGCCATTACAGATTTCCTGGAGGGAGTTTTTTAGGCAATCAAATGTATTGGCCTGCGTAACTCGAATTAACACTCGTTGTAACCTACTCCAAAAACAGCCAACGCAAAATCACGGTTAAGCTACAATATACGTGAACTACCATGGGAGAGATATCATTTTAGAGAAGTGCACGAAAATATAGAATTAACAAGGTACGCAGAGTCTTTAGAGCCATTTACTGAGGGCAATATGGGGCCTCGTGTAATGAGAACATGCAGTTCGGAAAATAAAATTTCCATTTAAAAACTATAGCAATTAAATCTGCTCGAGCAGGAGTTTTAAATTTTTGATTTCATAAAAAAACGTAATGTTCAACACTGAGTAATGGAGCGTGAATTGGACTTGAGAGAAGTCATTCGCAAGTTAAACACATCGAAATATTCCGGTCTGGCTCGCGTGTATGTTTGTTTTTCTTCAGAACAAATCCAAGGAAACGAAACTTTGCGGGAAACATGCATAGTTGCATGTAAAGGCAAAAAACTTCTTGTTTTCTCACCGAAGTCTATTTTATCTTTGAATTCACTTGTTCTGTTGTCACCAAGAACAAAAGATTTTCAGTGGTTATTTCATTCGAAAGTTGACGATCTGTCGCGTGTACTCAGCGCGTTATAATCGATTCAATTCAGCTCGAGGCAAATTACGGCACTGCGTAATTAAAAATGAAGGAAAATACTGGAGCATTGAAGTGACAAATAGCATTCAATGAAATGAAATGAGGCAAGGGGTCTAAAGCATTGGCAAACATCATGTGCTAACAATATATTCCAAACACTACTTGAAACACGCACAGTAACGACAGAAACACTTCACACAAAGGAGCACCAGTTAGCAAATAATTTGCACAAGAAATTTCTTTGTGAATAAAATTTCACATGAAACGTCTTATAGCCAAAGGGAATAAGAAAGCGCCCAAACAAAGTAATGGATTTTATTTTTTTTACCCTTTTCCAAGTATGACGAATTTGATATCGTACCCACAACACTATATGAATGAAATAGTGTTCCAGAGAAGTTTACGCTGGCTTAGGCACAAAAAGACAGAGGTTTTACAAATGGCAGACGGTGTATAAGTTAAGTGAACCATTTAACCTGAAAGTAAATAGTTCCTTGCTATCGTGAGCCACTTCAAAGTGAGTCAACGCTTGTAAATGAAATCTTGACAAATGTAAACATAAGTTGTAAGACCTACTTGCACTGTTGCGCTAAAGTCTAAAGAAGCGTTTTAGTCCGAAATGAACAGACCATAAATGGTCTGGTCTTAACGCCGAAGTTGAATTGTCTTGCGAAATGACACGTCATGCTCTCAATCGTTGTACGCTGTAATTATATATGATTACAAAAGTTACACGGTTGAAACAAGGGTTTCTTTTGCACTTACCCACACCGCAGACAATGATGACCAAAAAGAAAAGGCTCTGTTGATTTTTTATGAAATAAACATCATCGTTAAAATATCTTTAATCATCTTTCCAAAGTAACAATGTCTGACAGGCGTGAGACTAAGGAAAAACTCACCTGAAGAAGCACATAAATCATTCTACAGCAGACCTGCATTTTTGCAACAGAAATTCTCAGTGTGTAGTCACTAGTGATATTGCTTCTGCGCGTTGATTGTTTTAACGTAAAATTAGCTACCAACTCGTTGGACACGAATCTGATGAGCTCTTTTTAGCCTGCAGTTCCGATTGACTGAGCGGACTTGCAAGTTGCAGAAGAATAAACGCTGAGAGAGCATATTTATACACTATAAATAGCCATTATAGATGAATTTCTTTGCAGCCAATGAGATGGCATCCTTTCCCTTTAAGCAGGTGTATTTGATATATTCCAATTAATTACTGCACTTTGAGATCTAATTTATCTCTCCAGTAAATATTAATCAGTCCAGAAACATGTCGAATATTTTTACGTCTGGATTCTTCACGTCGCAGGACATTACAAGACATTTTTAAAAGCCGCATGTGGTAGTTTTGAGTTAACACCGGGCGATGAGGAGTTTTTAAGTGTCATTTGGCTCATTTGTATAAGTTATGTAAAATGTATCATTGAGACACCAGCTACAGCAATAAAATTGTCCTTATCACTGACAGCGCTATATTAATAACTCAATCGAGACAGGGCGTGTGCGCGTATATTTCGCGTGTACGAATACTCTTGTGAGTGGGCACAACATACACTTCTGAGTGAATTTACAACTTTCCACAGCCGGACGTCACTTGAAAATTGTTTTATACGCTCTGCGTGAGTTAAAGCAAAAATTCTTTTATAGAGGCAGCCATACCTTTTCAACAGACCTGGTAAATGTGGTCAAACACACTGGCGCTATCCGGCGCATTTATTATCCAATTCTTTTGGGAGTCGCCGCACAAAATCGTTTGTCTCAATTGAACAACACACAAACGGTTCATCAGACAGGCAGGCCACAAATCTAAAATGAGCGAACCACATTTTCTTCATTAGAGTTCGGCTTTAAATAAAGACTTGAGAATATTCACATGGCATTCATCCAATGTATTTACATTTTCATACACCGCGATCCAGGCCAAAATAATGACTTATTCAGAAGCGGTTTATATACTATCACTCCAAAGGAGTTTCTTCTTCGCTTAAAATGTTCGGTTTTGTTATTTCGCCAAAAAATACGCTAGAGAACGGGAATTGTTTCAATGTTGCGACACTCCCAATTCGCTCTTTCTGTAAGATTTCTTTTGTCTAAGGCAGGTTGCCGCAGTAAAATAAATCGTATCATTGGATATATTTTGCTTGGCATCATGCCCGCTGAGCTACACAAACTTAATGGTTCTGGTGTTTAACAATTACGTGGTTCGTCTTTATCTAAAACCTTGTCGATCAAGACCGACAGCAATTATTCTCGTTGAACAAATGTTCAACATGAAAAAGTTAATTTTTTTATCACGGAGAAATCTCGTTTTCTTTTCTTTTTTTCTTTCGTCTTTTCTACTGAAAGTTTTTTAACAAATATCCGTCCTGGTATAGCATTAGAATGCAACATCTCAGTTTATTTTTTCTTCTTTTTGTAAATCAAATAGTTCAATTTTGAATTTTTAGTTCTGGTTAGTTTCCTTTCGGCTTTCCTTGGACATACATAACCGAATATCATTTTCAATTGATTTCGAAACCATAACTAAACTCGCCAAAAAGAATATTCAATTTTTGTTTGCACATAAGAAAAAGCTTTCCTTGTATCAATATTCCCCGTAATTGGAATCTTGGAAGTAATAACACTTAAGTGCCTGTTATAAAACGTGACCGATGAAAATTTTCATACCGGAGAATTTACTGTAGAGATTATCCCTTTCTGCTTTTTTATGCTATTATTGTGATTCTTATGATTTTCATTATCTTTATTATCACGTATTAGTAGCAAAACTGAAATGAAAGAATTGCGAGGTCGGCTCGAAGAGGCGAAAATTAGTGGCCATTCCAGTCTTGACTGGAAAGTCACGCAACGCTCCATTCATTGCGTTACATCATAGAAGGTTGTAAAGGAGACTGCGGCCATCTTAAAGCAGCTAATTGAAAACCATGGTCAAAAGTAATATTTACCAAATATTAAGTGAATAGGGGAAAAGAATAAACTAGATTCAGAACAAATGTAATTAGACTAGACTCTCGTATCTTTTTTTTTTTTTTTTTTTCAATTTTGATATATTTATGTATACGCAAGTGATCGGCGAAGTGCAATATGAGCGGTGTAGTCAGTAGCATGACGCCGTCTCGTCGGATGGCTAACGAGTTACTTTAGGCAATGAAACTTGTATTAAGTGAAAACCCACGGGAACCTTGCTCTGGCCTGTTTCATGCAGACTGTGATAATTACAACTTAATACAGGGTATTCGTTCGACACAAAGTGTTTGCTAAGTACAAAGTCTCCGCCTTAGACATGTTCCTCTAAATTTTCCGATGATTATTCCGTCACATTTTCGGTCTCTTATTGAGTCTGACTTACATGGATCTTGAACTGACCATTTATTTAAGTGAACTGTCTTAAGCATTTTTTGCTCTGTTAGGCGCTATAGCGCATTTCTATGAAGAAATTCTCTACTGCAAATATAGTTTAAAACAAATTGGTTGTAAAAGGCTTGGGTCAATTTTAGCAGGCGGCATTTCCCACACACAGCTTTGCCGCTCATCGCACACAAAACCGCCAGCTACAAAAGCTACTGACTCAATTACCGCCGCACAACTTTTGATAACGTGAACTACACTCAGCTTTTTAAAATATTTAAGTTTCTTAATATACCTCTTAAGGAGTCAGCTTAATACAAGTTTTGGCCACTTAAGGGCTCAATTTAAGTGTCTGCGTCCATCCATGGGAGCTATTCGATGAATGCAAGTTCATTTTATAATAAACATAGGAAGAAAAGGTTAGGATCTTGGCTAATATCGGCCTAATACAGGGTGTTTGCCTAAATACATGGCTCACCTGAAACAGATTTGACTGTTCGAGATAACCTCGTGCGCCTCTTGGTTTTACAACATCAAGCATGCGTGAAGTGCTTGACACAGTAGCAGAGGAAGAAATAATAAAAACAAAACCTTCTAAAATTATTTTTGCAAAATTTGAGCTTTAAGACAAACCAAATAACTACATATATATTGTATAATATCACACAGTGATACAAAGCATGCTAACCACATAAACCGGCTAGCTTTCTGCAAAAAGCAAAATGGAGTTGACCCCATTAAACGACACTTCGGAATCCGGACTAATGTCGGAATCTTAGCAGGGATCACGAGTATCTCAGCCATTCCGATCGAGCATTTTTTATCCAGGCTATCTACTGTCTCCCAGTCTCCCCCCTTCGTGCACCCTTCCTATTTCGTTTGCGGTGTTTGGGCGCTGTTAAGGTTTGAGCAGCAAAGCTGGGTTAAGCTTTGGGGACTGCTTGTGGTTTTATGTGCACTTTGAAGCATTGAATTGTCGCACGTTCACCACTCGTTTGAGCGGCTCCGCCACCCAACGTGCGCTTTAAAGCGCTCACAAACCGCCGACCACGCAAACAGCAATCTTATTTTAAAGACGTCCTAAAATTTCCCCTGATACGAGCTTACAAATAAATGTTGACGCGCCGCCAACCGATGTTGAGCGTAAAAAGTTACTCAATGAACGATCAGTTGAACACCACATACTCTACTGGGAGATATTTTCTCTATATGCAGTCGAAACAACCAGTTTAGTTCAGGTTCAATAAAATCCACTAACTATATTTAGTTTTGATCTACCTTCTTGCGGTCGCTGAAGCTTATGCTGTCTCAAGGGTTTTCCGTTATCTCGACCACTTCTTTGACGATTATCCGCCTCACAAAAAGTTCACAAACGGTCAACCTATGTATCGCACATAAGGTGACTTTTCGTCCTGACAGGAAAAGTTGTGTCAAATTTACAATGCCTCAACAAGAGCTTTGTAACCGCGCACAGGTGGGTAAAATGGCGGCAGCCTAAATGAAGGTACTTGTGAATGAAACATTCTCACAATTTTCGTGAACTTGTTCGCTTTCAGACGTGTATTATGCTGTTTGATTAAAATCAAAAGAGAATAACCCAAGATCTCCAAATTTTTTTTACCTGAATTGTTTTGAAATATTGAAAAACATCTTCATTGAAGATACTGTACTGAAGTGTGCAGTCTGTTTAATCTGCATCTGAAGAGTAGGTAAAGCTGTAAAGCCATATATGAAAGACAAGTGACCGTAGCTTCGTTGGCATGCCAAGCTGAAATGTTTTTTCCAAAGCATTAGGCTTTGAGAAATTCAATTAAACACAGTATTTTTTTGTTTCAGTTCCGAGCATGCGGACATCGAAACATCATTGTAAAATGCGATGAAAGCTCTACAAAGTCGAATCTTGTTCAGTATGTCGACCCCTAAGATGATTTTGACAGACAAAAAGTACTTCTATACAGCAGAGGATTTCCATTGGTCCAAACTGTGGTCGGGTACCGGGAAGGAGGCTTTAGAGCTGAGCAAGGTGAAGTTTACACTCATAGTTGATTTGTTGTTACTTCTCCTAATTAGAAATTGAAATTCGATAATGTATTTTCTCAAGTATGAGTTGTGATTGTTTACTGTAGTTTGATAAAGAGCTTCAGGAATGCTGGGATGCTGCATTAGAGGCTGGTTCATTTGCTTACAAACTGCATCATGTGGAAGGCAGAATTGTACCTGGTAAATATGGAGTATTTGTCCAGGTAAACACTCTACCGGATACATTTTCTACTAATTTATGAAAAACAGCATACTGTAGGGAAAGCACCTCTTAATGTATTCACTCCCAAGATCCCAATAGTCATTCTCACTATCCATCACACAGCTTGTATAATTTGAGTGATGAGAATTGATGTTGGATCAGATAATAATCCCTCACAATATTTTCTTCCTTCTAATCACTTGTTTGCGTAATATCATATTGTAAAGAGAAATTGCCTTGATCACTCTCAGGAGTGAAAGGCTGAAAATGTATTGTAATTTCTTTCCCTGATAATAATTTTTAATTTTCAAATTCAAAATGAAAATAAGCAGGGTAAATTCTCATTGTTGTCAAATATGATCATGTTCCAATAGTAGATAGTTGTATTGTCAAGTAACAGTTTGGATAAGTGAATACATGTTCATGTACATACTACAAAGCTTTTATTTAAGAACTAGAACATCTCTGAAGGAAGGATTGTTGGAGAGAGATTTTAACTGGTAGTAATGTAATGTTATATTTGCTCTTTTAGTTGAATGAGATGAGATTTAACAAGAGAAGAAAACCTGAAACAATAAACAGTATCTCTCAACCTTTTAATCACGACAAATTCAACTTCACAAAAGTACACAGAAAAGAGGTAAATGTGTACTTTATTGTATACCTATAAAAGCATATGTATAGGTAACATGATTTTGAGTGCAATTTGAAATTAATAGACACAAGTAAACTTTCTGAAGACAACAAAACTGAATGAACCTTAAGTGCAACTGCAATTTGTAATCTTTGAAAATTTTGCAGGTGCTTATGTACACCAAATTGCAGGAGATTTCAAAATGTTACTTAAGTTGTTAATAATTTACATGAAAAAGCATCTTAGAAAGTCAAGACAGAAAAAATGTTGACAGTGGGCACTATTTGTAATTTGGACTTGTGAAACAAGTTTGCACTTGTGTTACATGATAGATGCGTTCGTTTTCAGCCAATCAGACATGCATAATTTTTTTTTATGTTTATCATTATATAAGGTAACCGTTTGGCAACTTAGTGTTGAATCCTAAATTGTAATTTTATATACATGTAGGTATTGTTTGCACTTTGTCCAGAGGACTTTCCAAGAGAAACTACAGCAGAAGATGAACAACATCTTATGATAATAAATGTGAGTCCTATGGAGTATGGTCATTGTCTGTTGATCCCAAGTGTCTGGTCGTGTCTACCACAGGTATTGTATTATAAATTCTGCTGATCTGGAATTTTTTTGTTGTGGTTTGAGAACTTTTATGTGAATGAGACTTTTGTCTCTGGTCAGATAATGTTGGTAAATAAAAGAAATACTGTAAATTAAAGAAAATAATGTGGTTGTTCACTAAATCTCTTTTTGGTAATAAAGGATGAATATCAAATACTACAGCATATGTGGAAAGTACATGTGCATAATCTTTTGACACTGTATTGCCTATAGAAAATGTACCTGTATACTGGATTTGATCTGTGCATTAATGAGCCTTTCAGCTGGTATTGAGTTAAGCAGTAGGGAGATTGGACAGAGTGATAAACAATGTAACATCAGTAGCCTCCTCGCACTATTTTCATTTCTTTTTATCAGCATTGCTCAGGTGTCAGCGGTTTTAATGCACCATTTGATTGCTGTCTAGCCAATCATTATTTTTCTGTATGATGATCCAAATTTTTCGTAAACACAGGTGCTCACTGAGGATGCATTGCTACTTGCTCTTGAGATATCCATGCTTAGTAATCACAGGTACATGGAATTTGATTCACTTTACACACATCTTCTAGTAAAATTGTATTAGTTTTTGCAATAGGGAGTTTAAGAAACAATGATGGTGACACTCTGGACAATGTCTGTTAAAAAAATGAACTTATATTTTACTTATGAATCTCATGATACAGTCATTTAGTTTGTTTCTCACAGTCAAAACTATTTGGAAACTGAATACAGAACACAGCATTAACTTAGAAATAGAAATTCAAATAATAGCCCTTGTTGTCCACATTCTCCTGACAGCACAAATTTTGAACATTTCACGTTGTTGTTTTGGAGAGGAGGCAAAGAAATTTACAAAGATTTATAATGCACATGCACAGCCATTGCTCTGCTCTTTAAGATTTTTGTTTAGTGATGTTCCCATTGCTGTTGCCGTCATGGTTTTCTGTAACTCCCTTATACCTCATTCTTCCCTTGTGCTTTTTAACACTTTACTGTCGCTAGTAGAGAGCAAGATCAAATCCATCTCATTGAGATTAAGTTGTAAGAGAGGAATGCCTACATGTACAGTGTAGGAGTGAGAAAATGTAGAAAGAAAGACAGTACTTGTGTTTCTGCTGTGTTGACCTTAATACAGGAGCACATGTAGGTTGTTTCATAGCTCAGTTGTGTTGTCACTCCACTTTGTTCACTCCACTTTGTGCCTGGGAACCCCTCCCCCCCCACTAACTCTCTGTATGTTTCACAATGAAATAACTTTTTGTGCTCTCATGATTGAATTGTCATCTTTTCATTTACCTACAAAGTTGCTGAGATTCCATGCTTCAACGATCTTCCCTTAGCACATCGTGTGCAGAAGGACTGGAACTAGTTTGAGCTCTCCCTGCATTTACATACACTCAGGCTCCAAGTTCTGTTTTTCAAAAAGTCGCCTTTTGGTGACCTTCAATTGTAGAAAAATCACCAATTAGTGACCTGTGTCAAAATTTTAGTTGCCAATTATATTTTTCACTCACCATGGTGTACAAAATGCTCACAGCTTGGAGCACAGATACTCTGTAGAAACAAAAGCATTTGGCAAAGGTAAAAACGAAACTTGCACTTAATTGTATCTATACTTTGCAGTTCATTGATTCAGTCTCATTGCATAAATTTGTCTTCATTGCAGAGGATTTCATGTTGGATTTAACAGTCTGTGTGCACATGCATCAGTAAATCATTTACATTTCCATACCTGGTACAGTGAACACCCATCCTATCTTGAAACAGCTGTAAGTCAATATAGCACTATAACAGTATAACTTATCAACGAAAAAAAAAAGACACTCCTGTGAGAGACATTTTGGCTTGATGGGAAGAAACAGGACTACAGATTAGGAGTCTGGGTCGAGTTTTGTAATATTTGTGTTTTTGCGCGAGTCTGGGCCTAAGTCCCTCTCTCCAACCTCTGGGTTTGTTGGAGAGCATTTCGATTGAAGGTCGGAAAACCAAGAACAGCCAATCAGAGGAATGGAAAATATATCAAGGAGCCAATGAGCTCGCAATTTAAAAACAAATAAGCAGCTCGAAGCGCGGGAAAGCATTTAGTTTAACAGGTGGAAAATAATTATTTTATTATTCTCTCGTCTCGTTAAACTTTTTTTACTATTTCGAGATAGTTCCCCTAAGTGTCTGGGTCATTTTCAAGAAGTCTCGCTAACCAAGTAGTTGTACCGCGTAATTGGTTGCTTCTCTTTCTCAGAACATGTACGCGTTCTAAGGAGGGCCTCTTGTAAAAAGAGGGATTTTTTTAGGGGTGTTGCATGTAGGTTATAGGACCCTCGTTCAGTTTTGAATACGTAATCATTAACAATTACTTCTGATAATTTTTCCCTCTAATTTTGACCTATATTTAGTACCTGTTTACAAAAATATCGCTAGGAGTATTAGTTTTGATCATGATGGTTTTGTTGTGGTAAACAGGATGTCAGCCTTGTTTGCGGAAACGTTTTCGAAGTCAAGGATTATCCAACAACGGCGTTCGTCTTTGAGCTGGCCCCAGGGACTGATGTGGGCCTTGTTGCACGGTAAGTAATTGAAGATGACGAACATATAACGCTGTTTGAGCAAAGAAATCACTTGTAGATTGGTTTCCAGTCACGATTGATGCATATCTCTAAACGAAAAGTAACTACTTGAAATCAAATTTCAGTTAGAGCAGCATTCTCCCGTCGAATTATCTTGCGAGATAATTTTTATCGATTAAGTTCACAATGACTGGAAAACAAAAGTGTAAAATGCTGAGTATAGCCGCTGTATTACTAAGTGTTATAGCGGGAGCTTACGGTACACTGTTGTATCAAACAATTTGTCCGTGCATGAATGACGGTTCCCGACTTCAACTAGTAAAATGATTGGCTGGCTCACGATGTGGTCAGTCTACAAGTCTTTTTGCTCCAACGGATGTAGATTTCATCAAACGAGATGTTCCTAACTGGTTATAAGTCTGAAATGTACCAATCGTGGATAAACAACTTTGTGGCGAAACAACTCGGATATTTACTTTGAATTCCGTGTAAATGCACAGATGAATGTTACAAGGGACTGTTTAATTTCCAGATTTTTACACTTTTCACTGTTATCTTAATTCGAACCCACAGCACAATACACAAAGTTTCGTCATATTTTATTCAAGAGGAGGTTGCACATAACCTGCACATAATTCGAGGCGCAAGATGCCGTCCTAGCAATCAAAGGAATGGAATTACGCAAGGCGACCGCGATGTGTGTTCAGTTCTCAGAGTATTCCTCTGGCCAAGGAACCCTGTCCATGGTGAGACAAGTCTCGAAGATGTGACATTAATATTATTATAAAAAAAGAAAGGTAGTGAAACTTTAAGTTGGGCCCATTCAAGTGACGTTACTTTGTATTATTGTCAAGTTAAACTGATTTTGCTGGTCAAAATGGTTCTAACTCTGTTGTTTGTTGCGAACCCCTAGTATAAAACCTTTCATGTAAACGCTATTTGGTTATGCATAAAAGTTGATTAAGGCATCAATGTGTCGCTAACCACCCATTAAAATTTATATGAAAAGCTTTGAGTGGTTTTTGTATCTCAGTGTTTTCAAATTTCTGGCTTCCCAACTTTCTTTAGTTAATTGTTGATGTTTCTTTACCAGGTGCAAAGGAATTGAGTTCTTACGAGTCTGAAAAGCGACCTATCGCTGTCTACGAGTTTGCTGGTTCTTTGGCAATAGAAAGTAACGAATTCAATTTGTACATGCACAATTAATGTAATTATATTTTGGGGCACGTATTTTTCAGCCGAATTGCTACCAGGCAACACAACGTACAGTGTTGCTTCTGATTTTACCTACTGAGGCGCGGGAAAATTAACGCGGGTAACCAAGTTGCGATTGATTTTAAATTTTTATTTTTTAATCTGATTGGGTAGAAAGTAACACGAGTTCTCGGGGACAATTACAGAACGAACTAAAACAAAACTAGAACAATCCTGTCACACAAACTTGTTCTTAACTGATATCTTATTATTTCCTTTTCCAGCAAGGAAAACCTACGAATCATTTACCGAAGAGAAGTTTGTGGAATACATGGCACGAGCAACTTTACCAGAGGAAGAGTTTATCACGCACAGAGAGGCGATACGAGAATTATTGCAAACATAGAGTGGCTTAATCATTGTTTGCTGATTGTTAAAATTAAATCTTGGGCCTTGTAAATTCTATCTGTATAATTGTAAATAATAAAATGACTTATTTTATTATCCGGAAAAAACAACGACTTTTCAATGACTTATTGGGTATTACAGCTTGTGCGGTCGGCACACGAAGGGTGGAATTTCGAGGGTGAAGCCCAATCATTCAAGATGATAACTGGGTAATTTAGTATCATCAACTGAGTTGATAACGTAAATTGGCCACCGTGAAGAGTTTTTAAGCTGACATTTCGAGCGTTAGCCCTTCGTCAGAGCGAATGAAACGCTTAACGGTGGCCAAATTACGTCATCAACTCAGTTGATAATACTAAATTACCCTGTTATACTCTCCCACCGACGAAGCAACACAGTTTCTTTAGAAACTTACCCCCTTTACTCATTCAAGATGATATTGAATTCCCAAGCAGTATCTATTTAAGCTTACGAGCAGACTGCAATTATTAGCGCTTTGGCACGGGCGTTCCTTCGCCCGCGAGAAAGTATGGGGCCTAATCAGCTAACACGCCTTACGCTCGCTTCGTCCTTGGCGCTCAAATTTAATCAACTTTCTCCTTTTCTTCCTCCACAGGCAAACCACACTATGTGTTCGTGGTTACTAATAGTTTTCATGAGACGAACAGAATCTATGAGGGTTTTGAATAAAGTTCTGAAAATTGCCGATCTGACTGTCATCTTGGTCTGAATATCTCAGTAAAATTAAATGAAGTGTTAATCGACGCATTCGTGGTATTTTTTTCGTCTTCATGGGCCGTTTGAAGCGTCTTTTTACGAAATTACTTTTAGCCGGAGGCCGTTTCTGCTCCAAACGGTTACTTCGTTTTGTGCGACACCCGGTTTTGCTCAACATTCATGAATTAGTAAACAAACCAGTTTGGCCTTAGGAACCAGGCAACGTAGCCAAGAATATTATCGATATTTGCATTCGAATTTATGAGAAACTACGCGGTGAAACGAATTGTTGATGTAGTTAAAAGGTTAGTAGATTTCTCTTCTTACCTCGCCAGGGTATTTATTTTAATCCTGTCTGGTTTTGATAGGGTTGCATTGCCTCACGATTCACTTGTAAGACTTCGAAAAGTTGTACAGTTTCCTATTCTACAACTTGTGCCCTTGATTTCGACGTGGACTTTAAACCATAACAATTTGATACGTGTTCAGTGTTACACAATATCGATCGCCGGCAAGTTTTAAATTAAATAAATTTGATCTAAGATACAGAAAATTTGTCTATTTCAACCAAATATTCTCCTTGCGTGAGGATTAATACAGGTGTGACAATGAATTTTTTTTATTTAAATCAAGTTTCTTTGTGAAGTACGTTGAGTTATAGCACATTTAGGCTTACAGCTGTGCATTCTGTAGTATGATTTTCAATTGGTACGATGAATGAAACAACGAATTCTCATTGTCTAACTGGGTTCGAAGAGAAAATTATGAAAAACTGGTCAGTTTGGGTTAGATATAACGGTGGGTGAAAATATGTGAATTGGTGTTATGTTGTACCCAGGTTGATTTGATTTTAAGCAATCAATTGTCTAATGTTTCACATCTGGTTCTTTGGTGCAATATATTCCTTCCAAAATATGTGTTTTATTAACCCTCTCTCTCCTAAGATCTCATTAGTAATTCTCCTTACTGCCTGCTTTACAATTATTGTGATGTTAGCTCTGAGAATTTGGTTTTGGACCAACAAATAATCTCCTACTTGATATTTGTCTTTATTCTCATCACTTGTCGGCTGGATATCATACTGATATTGTAAGAAGAAGTTATGTCCTGGTCACTTGTGGGTATTGAGCAAAAGGAGGGAAATCACCTAAGGAGGTTTATAAATCAATCATTTATTCTACTGTTTTCAAAGAATGCACAACAAAAAACTGCAAGCACCAGTCTAGCATTAAAATTGGGCAGCCATAGCAAATAAACATGCACATGAAGAATGTGGACATAGAAAATTAAAAAATAATAGAAAAAAAAAATAATAGAAAAAAAAATGTGGTGCTTTAAAATCTCCTGAAATTTCATCAGGTTTTAGTCAGGAGTTAGGATTCTTATTATTATTATTATTTTTCTAGACTTTCCTTCAATCAACTTGGCAAATATTGAGTTTTTAACTTTTATTGATATTCTAGAAGAGCTGTACTGTGCTGTAGAGCTGTGAATCCAAACTTTATGTCTGTATCAAGTACTCAGGTTTGTTCATCAGAACAACAATTCAGTTACACTGAAAAGGACTTCCACTGGCCTTGCCGTAATCATAATTGTGACGAAATACAAAATGAGCTGACAATAAGCAAGGTAAGATCATATAAAAAGTTATACATGTGTTTGCCAAACTGTTAGGGCCCATCTACCATGTGGTAGAGATCTCCATATGTAGTTCATTTCTCTAGTTATGTTCAACTTGATAGAGCTTGCATTGAGTTGTTAGTTGATTTTCTAGTTTGATGAGGAGCTACAAAAAAGCTGGAATGCAGCTGTGAATGCAGGTTATTTTACCTACAAATTGGATCATACAGAAGGAAGAATTGCACTTGGAAAATATCATTTGTATATCCAGGTATTTCAACAGATGAATGCAATTACTACTAGAATACTTATACATGATTTTATTTCCAAACAGGGCAAACTGAAATACTGGTATCTGCCTCTGTTAGCAAAAAGTTTTGAGTTCTGCATTTCAAAAGAGTGCTTCAGCAGTAGAATATACTGACAAGTAACAGTGATCATGTGTTCAGTAGACTCTTAACCCTTTAACTCCCAGAAGTGATTAACATGTAACTTCTCCCTATAATATCCATACATTATCCAGCAAGCAGGTAATGAGAATATTCAAACTTATCAGGTTAAAGACTTTGTTATCTTGATCTAACACCAAATTCTTGCAGCTATTTTACAAGGAAATGTGTAGCAGCTAGAGGGGAGAATTAACAATCAGATCCTTGGGAGTTAAAGGGTTAAGCAAAATTTTCAGTGTCCTGCTTGCAAATTTTAAAGAATGTAGGTGTTAGAAGAAGTGTTATCCCTTTTACTCCCATGAGTGACCAAGACAGAATTTCTCCTTACAATATCAATACAATATCGACCAGATAAGTGATGAGAATAAAGAAAAACATCAATTTGGGGATAATAAGTTGATCCATTACTAAATTCTCAGAACTAATATTATAAGAATTGTTTGGTTGACAGTAAGGAGAATTATAAATTTGATCTGGGTGCTAAAGGGTTAACTGTAATTGTGTGATAATAAACCAACAGAAAAAAATGATGTGTAGGTATGGTTTGACAAAAAAAAGATGTTTGCTAATGTGACAGTAAGTTCTGAAGCCAAAAATTATGGAGACCATTTGCAGAAAAAATGTCTTTTTTACACTTGAACTTCATTCTTTTTTTTTTTTTGGGAGGCATATACATATACATGCTCATAGCTATTAGCAATTACAGAAGTCTCCTACTCTCGTAGGCAATGAAAAATTTTCCTATGTTTCAAAGATCATGTTTTATAGATTAATGTCTACAATGTACACTCATTTTCACAATTATTTTTCTTTTAGGCTTTGTTTTCTCATAAAATGTAAACATTTACTTTTTTCATGTATGTTGTAAGTTGGGTCCTTTCTCTTGCATTTGTAGTTAAATGAGCTGCGATTCTCAAAACGAAGGAAGCCAGATCCAATCAACAAGGTGTCTCAGCCATTTGATCCATCAAAATTCAACTTCACCAAAGTACAACAGAAAGAGGTAATAAGTGGGAGGGCAGCCCTCATGCAAACTGACTAACCCTAACCCTAACCCTGGTGCTTTTCATGTGCTCTGTTCATGGCTATAGTACATGTAGTTCAGAAATGATTACTTCCGAGCTGCTGAAGAGACAAAATTGTGTGTCTAGAGTTTACATTTTAAATTCTGACCATCTTTAGGTATATTGACAGAAATAAACTAATCTTTTAGTTTCCGTGTTATAAATGAATATACTGATTGAGTTACTTACCTTAGTGTAAGTGAATGTGGTGGATAACTACCCTCACTTTGGTGAATAATTTCAAACTATCATGGAAAAATGCAATCCAATATATGCTTTATTAGACATGGCTGAACAGTGCTGTCTAAAGATTCATGTATAACATGCCTCTTCATGTATAAACAGTACTGCCAGTGAAACTGATACAATACAACGAAGAGCAGTATTTGCTTCAAATATGAAGCATGCCTGCAGCCAATGAGAATTGAGATTTGATACCAATATCTTTTTAAAATATTCTTGAACCAACACATACTTTGTATATTATCATTTAAGGTGATGTTTGAACTTATTCCAAAGCATAGGAGTGCAGTGACAAGTGATCAACATGTTTTGATAATAAACAATAGTCCTATTGAATATGGCCACTCCCTTTTGGTGCCGAGCATAAATTCTTGTCTTCCTCAGGTATTTGCTTTAAATGATTTTTTTAATGAATTGGTTTGTTTTTTGTTTGTTCATCTCCCTCTGCCCTTGTGGGCAGATTATTGGAGAGATTTATTTCAAATTCATAATACACTCAATTGCAAAAAAGCGTGACTGTAACCGCAGACGCGGTTACAGCCACGTTTACACAAATTACAAACAAAAATGATTACAAACGAAGCGAAACGGAAAAATACTCACATTGCAGGTAGCGGCTAACTGCAACAGCGAATAACTTTTAAGTTAAAGAAGACTTTTGGACAGAGAAATGCGCCAAGCGCGACGTTAGGTAAACTGACTTTAAAGAAGTGATTCTGCGTAAAAGAAAGTGGCTTTAAATACAAGAGGACTGCGAAGTTAAGTGCGGTGTGAAAAACGCGCAAAATGGTGTAACTGACGAAGAAAAACGATAACAAGCTTAACAAAAATCACTAACAGGAGGTATGAAAAAATATAGGTCGGACGAATTAAATAAGTACAAAATTATACAAAACAATTAATAATCGCTTTAGATCTTATTGTGACGCCTTAAGAAAGCATGACTCATGAACGATTAGACCCGACGGCTTTATGGGAAATGTTTGCACTAAAACATAATCGAGTGGTAGCCCTTCGTGAGAACAAAAATCGCTCTTGATTCTGGGATTCGCCCTAACAAAGGGCTAACGCTTTAAGTGTCAGCTAAAGATTCTCTTTACTGTGGCCAATTTACATTATCAACTCAGTTAATAAAACCAAATTATCTTGTAACACACCAACCGACGCAGCACAACAGTTTCTTTAAAGCCCAACCCCACTTGATGTAACTAACACAGCACCTTATTATTGACCTCTAGATATTAACTGAAGAGGCACTATTACTTAGTATGGAGACGGCCATGTTGAGTAGTCACAGGTATTAATCCATGTTTATATTCTTTTGTATTTACATGTATGATGCTGTAGTTAATTTAAAGTTAAAACAGCCTAGGTTATACTATTAAGCCTTAAAGGGTAATTTAGCATTATTAACTGAGTTGATAACGTAAATTGGCTTCATTCGCTCTGACGAAGGGCTAACGCTCGAGACGTCAGCTTTGAAACTCTTTGCGTTGGCCAATTAACGTTATCAACTCAGTTGATATTACTAAATTACAGTTTCTTTAGAAACTTGTTTATCAATTAAGTCTCAGACAGAGGCACTCTTGAAAAGGGTTAACCCTTTAACTCCCAGATCAAATTTGTAATTCTCTTTACTGTCAACCATACAATTCTTAGAATGTTAGTTCAGAGAATTTAGTATTGGATCAACTAATCAACCCAAAGTCGATATTTTTCTTCATTCTCATGGTTTCTGATGGTTTATTATCACACAATTACAGTTAACCCTTTAGCAACCAGATCAAATTTATAATTCTCCAAGTACTGTCAACCAAACAATTCTTATAATGTTAGTTCTGAGAATTTAGTAATGGATCAACTTATTATCCCCAAATTGATGTTTTTTTTATTCTCATCACTTATCTGGTTGTTATTGTATGGATATTGTAAGGAGAAATTCTGTCTCGGTCACTCATGGGAGTTTAAGGCTTAACTTGGCTTATTTATCCCGTCATGTAAACTTGCAAGTGATTCTAATGCATGATACCAAAGCGTAGCATTTATTAACCTGTAATCTGGTGTTTCGTCTTTTTAAGGTGAGCAAAATAGTCTTGCAGGGCATGAGTCCGCGGCTTCCCTAAAAGAGGAATGCCTGGTGGCTCTTGCACTTCAATTTCCAGGATTGCAATGTTCATACCTTTGGATACAAGAAGACGATTTAGTTAACTTTGTGACAACATATTGTGACTCTGACATACATGTCGTTTGAAAACTCGTTGTTCTTAAGACATCGCCTCTCTTGATGAAAGCTTAATATCTACTCCTTAAATATAGAATTGAACAACGACACAAGTAAATGGGGTGAATTCCTTTCTATATCTATTTCTTTCAGAGGACTCCGGGTGGGTTTCAACAGCTTGTGCGCATATTCATCCGTGAATCATCTACATTTCCATATTTGGTACAGTGAACACCCTTCCTATCTTGAGACAGTGGTAAGTTTGTCTGTCAGACTTTGTATATTTATTTGTCTTGGTAACGCTCCAACGTTTTTACTCGACCTCAAAGTTTTCAAATGGACGACATTTACTTACCTATGAGTATTATTCTCTTCCAAATTATTAGGATGTGATACCTGTCTGTAAAGATGTGTTTGAAGTTAGAGACTATGCAACAAATACGCTTGTCTTTGAGCTGGGACCACAATCTGATGTTAGTTTGTTAGCAAGGTAAGGAAAATTACCAACTAACAAATCAAACCAGCAAACAGGCGAACAAACAAACAAACAGGTGGCCACTCAACGGGTAACACCGTAGAAAGCGGTTCATGGAGTTTAATATTAATCTCAACGGTACCGACGAAGGTGAACTCACATATGTTTGGTTTTGGCTAAAATACGTGTTCACGATATCGAAAGTCGCACAGACTGAACAATTTGGTACATAACTCGATAGAGGGCACGGCATCTGAGTTTAAAAGCAGGATGTCTTTTAACTCTTTGATCTCTAAGAGTGACTAGCATTTAATTTCTCCTTACAATATCACCATTGGATCAAACATTTAGGTCATGAGAATTGAGGAAATGACCAGTAAAGGATTTAAACAACAGCCATGATAGATCTCGACAACTTTCCGAAAATGTATTCGTTATATGCCTCGTTAGGGTAACTTGGTAAGAAAAAGACTTATGCATAGTTTCAGCTTGAATGGATATTCTCGATTAGTGAGAAATTACCGTCTATTGGTTGAAAGGCATCCTGCTTTTAAACTCAGAGGCCCTCTATCGAGTCACGTACCATTTTAACGCAGAAAATATTCTCGGAAAACTGTTTAAGTAACGGGTATTGGAAGAAGGACCAAGTGGAGTGATTTTGCTCTGAAAGGTCTTTCCCTATGAGGTGGTCTTTTTTTTTATGCCTTTCTTTTTGTCTGTCCAGGAAAATACATCAAGTATCGTCATATTTCGTGGAAAACGAAGTAGCGCACACCTTCCTTATTCTACGGGGAAGTAAATGCAGCCAAAGGACTCAAAATGGCGAGTTTGTTAATGGAGAAAACAGCCATCCTGTGATCAGAGTCTTCCTTTGGCCTCGAAACCCAGTCAGCGGTGAGTAATTTGCATGAATGTGCAGTGAAGATCGGACCCACTGATTCACGCTTGCCTGAGCTAATTTTGGTGGTTTCTGGAGCATAATGAACTAGGAGAACTGCTTCACTTCTAGCAAAGGTATCCAATTCATGGCGTTCAACCCCATCGCTTTTGTGTTAGGTCTGCTAAAAGATCTGTTGCCCATTTACACCCATGCGTTGAGAGAAGGCCTTTAAAGAGTCAGGGTTTACTGCTTTGTAGTTCGGCCCCTTTTAGTAACGTTTCCCTGCAGCACGAACCATTAAAATTAGCTGTTGTGAATACGTGGGACCAAGGTAACTCTAGTGTTGTAGTCGATAAAAACGTGTACCAATGCTTAGGCACCCTCTGAATTTTCTGGAATGTGTTCTCTTTGCTTGTTTGTTCTTTCTTTTTGTTCTTTGTTTTCTCCCGAAAAATTCTCTCAGTGCTGACTTCCAGGCTACCACGTCCCACACGCCTCGAGATAAGCCCGTACAACTCTTGAGTGTGAGCCATTGCTCCTTGCAACTACTAAATACCCATCTCTAAATACAAGTTTTGCCTCGTTTTTGATCTCTTTCTTTCTCTAGGTCTGTTTACTGTATGCGAATTTTTTTTGTGTTTGTTCCATGCATTTACCTGTTTGGTGTGTGTGATTATAGGTAGCCAGGTGAAGAGTTCTTATGATGCGGACGAACGACCCACTGCTGCCTTTGAATTTTCTGGATTCGTTTCAGTAGAGAGTAAGTTCAGATATTTTTTTTCTGTACTTTTTGAAACATAATAGCAAACTCTAAATCACACCAGACTGCTTGAATTATTCACCTGTACAAAACGATGCAAAGCTTAAAAACGAGGACTGAGTTGAATTTCAGAAGAAACCCATAGCCCGTTTGCAAAATGTATCAACATGAACAAGAAAGACTCCCTCTAGAACACAAAGTTTAGGCTTGCTGGTAAATTTCGATTGAAAACTCATGTGAAAGGGCAATTCCTGTCTTACTAAAAAGTGGTGTGTATGAGGTCCTGTTTCACAGCTAAGAAACATTCCTGTTAGGACTCACAGAAAAAAGAACTGGAAAGGAAAAAGGGAAAGGCCAAACAAATTAAGTATAAAACCGCTAAATATTACTTTGCACGTCTTTTTTCAAAATAATTTTGTTTGGTTTCAAGTTTTAACGAGCTACACTCTATTTACGAACGGTCCTAGCATTGAACTCAATAACAGCATCCAATTTTGTACCAAAAGCTTCAAAAGTATTTTATAAACTCACCTGAAAGAGGAGGTATGTAGCTATTGTAAAGGCAGCTATTTTTTTTCCTTATAGCGAGAGAGACCTACGATCTATTCACTGAAGAACTCTTCTGTAAATACATGAAAGGTGCGACGTTACCAGAAGAGGAGTTTACGAGGCACAGAGAGATAATACGAGAATTATTGAATAAGTAGACGCGTCTTTTAACCGACGTAGTCAGTTATAAGACTGCAATTCTAATTGCTTGGTTCTTGCATTTTACATTTTACATTTTAGCTATTCTCTGATACACCGAAAATGCTCCATCATTAAAACCCCCCCCAAAAAAACAAACAAACAAAAACAAACAAAACAAACAAAAATTCGAAGTTTGGACAGTTCAGTGTGGCTATTTGTTGCTCCGTATTTTTGCCCTGTACTACAGAACACTGTGGCATATTTTGTGCGTTCTCATTACCTTATTTGGTAAAATGACGTGGTGAAATAGTAAATTTGGTGATTAATAGGATGCCAAGAGTAGCTCCTACACATTTCTTGGACTTCCGCTTTAAATCGCAAAACTAGACGCGTCTTTTAACCGACGTAGTCAGTTATAAGACTGCAATTCTAATTGCTTGGTTCTTGCATTTTACATTTTACATTTTAGCTATTCTCTGATACACCGAAAATGCTCCATCATTAAACCCCCCCCCAAAAAAAACAAACAAACAAAAACAAACAAAACAAACAAAAATTCGAAGTTTGGAAAGTTCAGTGTGGCTATTTGTTCCTCCGTATTTTTGCCCTGTACTATAGAACACTGTGGCATTTTTGTGCGTTCTCATTACCTTATTTGATAAAATGACGTGGTGAAATAGTAAATTTGGTGATTAATAGGGTGCCAAGAGTAGCTCCTACACATTTCTTGGAATTCCGCTTTAAATCGCAAAACTATAAAACTCGTCAAAAAGTTCGAAACTCCGAACATTACGTCCTTGGTAAAATTAACAAAGCTACATGAGCCCGGCTATATGATTAAATGGAAGTCATCTTTGTGAAACGAATGTGGTAAGAACTGGTTTTTTCAAGAAAGACGGTTTTTTTGGAGGGAAGGGGCCTTGTCTTTGCTCCTGGGGTCCCCATTACGCACTAAAGCGTAATGTTGTTGTTACGATATCCTTTGGTCCTTCAAGCCCGGGCTGTAAGCTATGAAGGAGACTGCACCTACTTCCTCCGCCTCTTTGCTCCCCGTCTTCCCCAGGGGTATGTATGATTTTGCGTAGAGTATAAATTTTCATCATTATGGTCTCAATCTAGGGGAACCACAAAAAAAAACGGATTTTTCTTTTCAATTCAAAATGAGTCTAAGTTAAAAGGGACGAAACCAAAATGTATCATTTGTCAGAGTATGGAGAACACCGAGAAGTATCTTCACCCCGCTTTTCCCCTCCTTCCCCCCCCTCCGGCCCCATGTGACTATTATCATTCGCTATTATATCAAAAGGCCAAGTAACGCACGTATTTTGGTTGGTTTCCACTCATGAACTGTTGAAGGACAGACTTTTAAATGACGTCACCATCAACAATATTTTGCTTCGCTGTCGTATCATCCAAAACCGAAAGGTTCCACTTTATCGAGTGTCTGTTCAGAAACAGATCACAGCAGACGTCAAAATGTGGTTAGAACATCAGTCACGCACTCAGCTGTGCTGCGTGTGCCACTTTTTTTTTATTTGCCATTCTTTGACCTCATCTGTGTTCTGTTACTGAACAGAAGCACGGCAACATGGAATCTATTTGTTTACCCTTTAGCCCTTAAGAGTGACTAGCGTCTAATTTCTCCTTACTATGTCGCCCCTGAATCAAACATGAAAGTCACGAGAATAGAGGAGATGATCACCAACTAAAGCAGCTCTCGATTGTTTAACAAATTCTCCTTGTCAGCCTCTTTGGAGATGTACGGAGGACAGTATGGAGAATGTGCATACTGATCCTAAGGTGTAAAAGGTTAAGTAAAGAAGGAAACTATGAAAAGTTAGAATTACATGTATTTACATACTGCCATCTTATTATCGTCTGACATGGAACATCAGTCTAAACTCTGTAACTCTTGAAATCTTCTGGAACATCGGTAGAGCAAAGGCCGTTTCTAGACATTTTCTTCTAAAGAGCTTCTTGGTATGTATGGGTGATCTTACCCATGTGAACGTGCGCCTTTGTGACACGGATTTTCGCTACTCCATTCTACATTCTCCAAGCCTTCACGACGCTTTGTTCTTAATTTAGATTTCGATAGATTTGAAACGTTGCAGCTTTAATGTTCAAACAAAAACGTTCTCAACACCGATCAGAGGTTACATTGTTGCCAGTTCTTAATCAGTCATCAGATATAATACCCCTGGTCAGTGTCATTACAGGAACATATGTACTAATCTTTACTCATTCAGTAGGAAAGTAATTGTAACAAATTTATCAGATTCCACGGTGATTAACCCAACCCATGCACGTGCACTGATAAATTTTGCATTTCAAAAGGGATTGTCATCAACAGCTATTTGCCCCTTTGATCTTATAAGCTTGCTGCAGATATCAGCATAAGGAAAATTGCACGTCAAACGTGCCCAGGAGTTGTGCGAGACGAAAGCACGTGCCACATCCGCATGGATACGAAGGCACTGAAAAACAATCTTACTAGACATGCAGCATCGATAAAATGGAAAACTCCGCTGCTGGGTTATTTCATGTCTCTTTTTTCCTCTGTCCCATGATTGAGACTAGACGGACAACATGTTATTTACTGGACGATCGAACTTAAAATTGACCTTCTTTTTTCACTCACTTCACTTACTAAAGCTTTCGACTTGGCTGATTCAAGTGGCATGCAGAAAACTTTCCATATATGAACTTAGCGTGCACTGGAGTGCAAAATCTGAATATCAGGCCCCGTCTACTGTATTGGAAAGAAGGTTCTGAACAAATTCAATTCAATGGGATGGTAATAAACCAAATCCATTTGCGTGCCTTTATAAGTTTTACATTCAAATGGATTGTCATCGAAAGCTGTTGCCTCTTTGCAATTGATAACCCTTTGATCTTGAAGCCTCGGGCAGAAACTGAGAAGAATTGAAGAGATCATGGTTTATCATCAAACGTGCCTTGAGTGAGAAGTAAAGGAAACCCACTTGCCGTTATCGCACGTGCGTTCTTTATCAATACGGCTTGACTCTAATACGATATCAGGTATGGATTTAGCATGCTTTGTTTTACAGCAGAAGTCAAAAATAGCATACTTTGGCATGAAATAAGGTCAGGATGTGGAGAACCTAACGGCACATCCCTTGCACGCATTCCCAAAGAGTGACCCCTTTCTCGGTCCCAAAGGGACTCGATTTCACCAGCGTTCCATGTGTAAAACAGAAAAGCTGAAAAAGTGACAAATTCTTTTTCGTTACCGATATATATCTATCGTCTGACTTGGAGCGAAAGGAATTAAGTTGTCAGGTTACTTAATCTTTAACTTGATAAATCAGTCTAACCTCTTCAACTCTTGGAATATTCTGGAACATCTGAGGTGCAAGAAACGTTTCCGGACATATGCTTAGAAAAGGCCTCTTGGAAAGTATGCATGTTTAAATGTCTTGAACAAATTAGTTGAAAATATACTTTAGTGACATGGATTCCTACTATTCCATTCTCAATTCCCACAAAACTTCAAAGCACTATGTTCTCAACTTGGTTTGGAAAAGTTACAGTTTTCATGTTCGACAAAAGACGTTTTCATCACCGATCAGAGGTATCAGTGTGACTAATTCTTGCGGTGTTAAATATGATACCCTTTGTCAGCGCTAGTAAAGGAACATGTACTGATCTTTTGCGTCGTGCTAACTTGTTCTTGTATTTCCAACGTGAGTCGATGCACACCCCATCTGTGATAAATTAAGTTAGTGCCGCAGTGATCTACTAAACCCGTGCACGTGCACTGATAAGTTTCGCATGTTAAAAAATTGTCATCAACAGCTGTTTGCCCCTTTGATCTCTACGAGGCATCCTCCAGATATTAAATTGAGGAGAAAGGCACGATAAACGTGCCTAAGGTTTACGCAAGACGAACGCACGTGGAAGTATACCTCACGGTTGGAAACGTAACTAAGGCTAAGGAAGCAAAATTTCTTGCCACCATCGAGGCCAAACAGATTATTTGTTTCTTTATTCGACTCCGAACCCAAAATTGACCATCCAAGCAGTATACAGAAGGCTTGAAACATTATGAGCGCGGAATCCGAATCTCTGAGGTTCAATTCCTCAAAGGTACTCAGAACGTTTTCCTTGGCCCATCCTCGAGACAAGACAAAAAGACAACTTTCCTCATGACGATTTTCATCAGTGAATGATCGAACTTCGATCGACCATTGCCCTTTATCTATTCACATATACAATGCTTCCGACAGCGCCGATCCTAGCAGTTTGCAGGAAGCTTGTCACTTTCGAACCTAGCATACTCCGGGCACACTATCGAGTTCTCCTTATAATGGTTGGAAGGAATCATTGCGCTATATTTGAAGATCAGGCCCTCCTCTATTGCCTTTGAGAAAGTCTCATATCCAACTAGGGATGGCGATGAACCAAACCCACCCACGTGCAGTGAGAAGTTTTTATTTAAAATAATTCTCTATAAAAATATCTTTGCCCTTTTAATCCTAAAGTCTCGGGCAGATAATAAGGAGAAGTGAAAAAAAAAAAAAAAAAAAAAAAAAAAAAAAAAAAAAAGGCACGTTCAACGTGCCAAGGATAAGACACAAGGTAAACGCACGTGTCGGTACCGCATGGACGTTCTTTATCGGTCACCCTCGACTTTGATGCCAGCAGGTCTGTAAAGGGTATGGATTTATGATGCTTCGTCTTAAAATGGGAGTGGAAAGTGATATACTTTGGTCTGAAATAGGATCAGGATTTGGAGATCCCTTTCAGCAATTTCTGAAGAGTGCTTACCCCCTTTCCTTGCCTTTGAGGACTCGCGCTCACCAATGTTCATATACCATGTGAGAACCAAAAGCATAAAAGGTTACCTCTACATATTTATCGCTACCGATATGATGTCTTTATCTTCAAACTTGGAACGAAAGGTATTTTGTTGTTACGTTACGTAATTCTTTAACTTGACTGATAAATCAGTCTAACCTCTGCAACTCTTGAAATCTTCTGAGACATCCATTGAGTAAAGACCGTTTCCAGACATTTTCGAGGAAAGGGCGCCAGTTTTGGAACGTATGTATATATTTACATGTAGGAGTGAATCGAGGATATAGTTGATTTTAGGTGTGGACACTCGCGGCATCTCGGTGACATAGATTCTCCCTTTTCCCCATTTTCTGTCCTCCAAAATTTCAGAGCGCTGTGTTCTTAACTTATTTTAGAACGATTCGCGTTTAGATGTTCGAAACCCAATGTTCTCAACGCCGACCAAAAATGTTAGTTTTATTGCTTCTTACTTCGTCAGAGTTACAGCAGAGGCACAGAAAATGCACTTAGTTCTCTTTTGTGTGCTGAATTGTCATTGAATTATTACGTATAACAACGTGCATCCAAGCTGAAGCTAGTCAGTTTAGTGTGATAACGTTAACAAAACCCATGTTCGTGCACTGATAAGGTTTGCATTTAAAAAGATTGTCATCTACAGCTGTTTCTCACTTTGATCTAAGCTTCATGAAGATGTTCACTTCAAGAATGGCACGTTAAACGTGCCCAAAGTTAGATGCAAGAAGAACGCACGTGCCGTTACCTCAGGACTGCAAACGTTTTCGATACCAAAACAGCAAACGCCCTTACTTGAAACTGGCAACAACCATGCAATGTAACCTCTACTGCTGGAATGATTCAAATCATGTTTTCTTTACTCCATGCACGATCGTGATTGTACGTTGCTAGTCTGTTCAGTGCAATGACTTTAACAAAACCCATGCACGTGCACTGATAAGGTTTGTGTTTGAAAAGATTGACGTCTGCAGCCGTTTCCCCCTTTGATCTAAGCTTCATAAGGATATTAGCCTCAAGAAATGGCGCGTTAAACGTGCCTAGAATTAGATGCAAGAAGAATGCGTGTGCTGTTAACTCAGGACTGCAAACGCTCTTCATACCAAAACGGCAAACGCCCTTACTAAACTGGCAACAACCATGCAATAAAAACCTCCACTGCTGGAATGATTTAAATCATGTTTTCTCTGTTCCATGCACGATCGTGGCTGTAAGAATGACATTTTTTTTTATAGGATGATTGACCTCAAAATTTACCATCCCTTTTTCGCGCAAGATACTTTTGGCAGTGATGTTGGGTCATGAAATCACATTGGCTATGGCTGCATCCCTACGTCATACCATTTTGAGTTGTGCGTGAATCGAGGAGAAATCAGCGAAAAAGATAGTACTGATTGCCGAATAATGATGATGATTACTAAATAACGTTCGTCAGAACAACAAAAGGGGCGTTGCATGTTGAAGCAATTTACACTTGAAATATCATATGGCAAAATAGAACGATAGCAATTAACTGAACCAGTCGACGTGCACTGATCAGTTTGCATTTGAAAGTGTTTTCATCAACAGCTAATTGCCCCTTTGATGTTTGAATTTTTTTTAACAAAATGGCACGTTCAATTTGAGCAGGACTAGATACAAGTCGAATGCCGCTGCCGTCACCACATGGCTTTAAATGCAATTGACCACAGTTACCATCAACTCGTTACTGGTTTTTTTTTTTATTCTTTTTTTCCCCATTTTATTTCATTTTTAAGTTTCTGTTCAATGGAAGTGAGGACAAAGTCACGCTCGGAATAAAATTTGACCAAATAAACAGATGCCTCTTTACAATTGGCGCTTTATCTCTAGACGTAGAGAATCCAATAATTAAATTTATATACGGATTTGCAACAAAATCAATCTGCATCCAGGAGAGCATTGCTAACAACACCCACATATAATTCAGTAAAGCACAGACACCTTCCCTTCATTTTGCTTTGTTTTGTTTTGTTTTATTTTTCTTATTACAATAATCTATTTACAGAACAATTATTGCGTTGTTGGTGCATAGTACGATAATGGATGTTTATGGGAAAAGGGTTGCATTTGGAAACCTTACAACGTTTGAGATACGTGTGAAAAATAGCTAACCTCGCTCCAGTTCTGTGTTTCTTTGTCTCCTATATGTGTTTAAGTTATTGGATTCATAACGATTAAAGTAATTTTAAGTCTTCCGTTTTTTTCCTCCATAAATATATTTTAAGTTAAAAGTCGGGCATTTAATTCCTCCTCTAGATGCAGAATGAACGAAGCTGCGATTGGAAAAAAGATCATTTTCCGTCTCAAGCCTTTCGCGGCTTCGCCACTCTTCGTGTTAGCGAAAACAAAAGCGCCAGTCAGTTTCGAAGAGGAAGTTGGGATTTTCGCTTTTTATCTTTATTAATTAGTATCGGGTCTCGGTTTGAGCACCGGAAATCGGTTTTGCGGTTTTTCTCTTTTTCGGCCGTAGGGTTTTGGAAAAATTTCTAGGGCTTTTTCGTAATTGGTATCCGGATATGATTTTTGGTATTTCCCGTCTGGTTTCCGATTTCTGTTTGGAAATTAATCACCTTTACCACAAACACGTGCCATTACTCTGCTGCCAAGAGATCGGAAAAGATTTTTCAATGAGCCTCATAACGTTCTCTCAACGCATTTTTCAAAGAAGTGTTGTATGCAGTTTTCGCTTTCGATAAAAATTTCCGGCGGTTTCTCGGTTCTATATGTTTTTTTAGTTTTTATTTTTCGCTATTTTCGACTAAGTCTCGAAGTTGGCGGCATATCTGGGGAGCACGACTTGATCGTACAGAGTCTATAAGCTTTATTCACCACGTCAAACTTGAAAAGCGAAGACTTACGTCTATATATAGCAAATCCGCATGTTGTGTGACAGAACTATGTATTAGGATATGCAAGATGAGCCTCGAGAAGAGTATTACTATTATCTTTCCCATACTATGCTCAGTTCTTGAGGAGTAAGGTCTTAAAGTTTACCAGCTTCCTTATTCCTTTTGCTTACACAAGGAATAATACGATGTTTTCAGAGCATGGAATCCGAAGGTTTGGGGTTCAATTCCTTATGGGGGAGTCAAATTGTTTTCTTGTCCCACGCAAAGAGATTATAATTTTTGCTCACGATCGTGACAAGTCATCTGACATCTTTGTCTTCTGCAGGCGAAATTTGAACCCATGATATCAGGAACCGAAATTTATTTATTAGTAATTGCTAAAAGTACCTTTCTAAGAAATACATTTAACCTCATTTCGTCAGTACAAGATACAAAAAGTATGATGTACTAAAAAAATTTTCATAGTAACAATGTCAACTAATCTGTCAACCATTAAGATCCAAGACAAATTGATCGTCAACCTTCAAAGTCTTCCCCAGCCCCGCCACCATTATACCCTCTTGTATAGCTACGGCAAAAATTGACCCTAAAACCGTCATTTTCTCTTGACCCTTTTTTAAAACTCTCAAGATTCGATTACTAATTTTCTTTTCTAATTTCCTACATTTTCCTATGAAATTAGACGGAAAATTTGGTGCGTTGTCTAGGCAAAGCTCTCCGGCTGATGTTCATGTCTGAGTTCCATTAATTGTTGGTAGAATAATATATTTGAATTATGTTCACTATTGCAAGTGTCAAAGTAACCATTTAAAAACGCAACTGAAGCATCGGCTTCGTGGTCCAATGCGTAATGAAGATCCTTAACTCTCTTAAAAGACAAAGAAAACTTTAAAAAAGGAAGAAAATGTCAGTTGCAAATCAAAATACCTAAAATATACCGAAAGATCGAGATTAATAGTATGAGATAATTACCTCATTATGCTCCAATGGGATTTGTTAAAAAAAACAAACATTTTAATTGAATTTACGATAAATTTATAGGATGAATTGGTTTCGAAATTAGTCGATAATTTCTGAGATGGTTAACCATCTTGCATAGAGTTGCCTCCAACAACACGACGCTAGACCGCGCGGTTAAGCAGAGTGCAACGGAAATGCAAGGGTAACCCAATTGCCCATTTTTTTTTTTTTTTTTTTTGACCTGGAGCGGAACATTATATTTCTTACAGCGACAGGGTCGACTTTCCCGTAGAGTTTCTCAATTTTTTTTAATTTTCTGATGTTTCTGTCTGCGAAACTGCTGTCAGACGTTATTACATTTGAGGCTTAAAATCTGTTTGTGTATTCAAAGATGCTACTTAGATTTTAGCTAACCAGTAAGTTCCCGTGATAACTTCCCTAAATCCCAAAATTGGCTTATGGTCAAGAATGAATACTGAGTCTTTCACAAAATCGTATCTTACAAAATACTGGAAAGTGTTTTTTTTAAGAAGAAGAAGAAGAAGAAGTGCACAACTGGTTCTCTGAAGAATAAAATAATTGATAAAATCGTTTTACTCAATAGACGGCTCTATATCAATAGGAGAAGTTATCTTGTCTGTATTCAAGATGATGAGAACGTGGCTAGAGTAGCTTATTGTACCAAACAAGATGCTTTTTTGGCGTCGTGTGAATCTAAAATGACTTAAGCCAGGTTATGCACCTCGTTGATTGAAAAGAAGAGGATTAAGCATTACAATAACTTCACTTCCGGCTGAGAAATGATGTACAAGTAACTGTTGTTATTCTTTCGTGCAGCGCAGTATGATCGGTGAGGCGAAGACGCCGGGCGTTCGGATAACAAATTGCTACTATCGAGATGGTCCAATGTTATCGTTTATGTCGCGCCCCATATCAAAATACTGCTTATTATAAACTATATGCACTTAATTAGTGATAGACAAGGTTAACGTCTAATGCATGTTACCTGACACGATAATAATCTGATAAGGATCGCTAAGTCACGTTTTTTATCTCTTGAACAAAAACAAGACAAAAAAAATATTTGAAGATAAAAAAGAAAAAAATAACATAAAAGAAGAATCTAGCATGAGTAGGTCAAGACAATTGCGCTTATCTTAGGCTCCTTGCAAACTTGATTTAATAATGAAATGATCACAATGAACGGAGCAACAAAATCTACCAGCGTTGGTGGGTTAATTCCTTTTCGATGATGATCCAAACTTCTTAACATTTTGTCGATTTGCCAGTCTTATTTCTATTTTAGCCCTTTCGGGAGGGCATTCCGTAAATTTTAAGAAAGAGCATGACGTAAATAGAGAGAGCCTTAAGACCTTCGACCTGTTAATCGCCAGAATTGACCAAAGAGGAATTCCTCTTTCCATTGTCGATACAATTTCGAGCAGAAAGGTTAAAGAAAAATAGGAACTACACGACAACGTTTGATGTAACACGAAATTCTCAGAGCTAAAATTTTAGATTTTGTTTAACAAACAGAGCGGAGAATTGATATTAAATATTGGGGATTGGGAAAGGGTTAAAAATATAACTGCATGGTTTGCCGAATTCTCACGCGCGCATACAGCACGTGGCACAACTTGAAAAGCGGCATTTGTTGAAGGATTTGAATTGATTTATTAGTATTTGGGCAGCAAACGTCTCGGGTTAAATAAACACCTCACAGAGAGGGAATAAGTTAACCTGAATATAATCTGTAGGCTTTTACAGTGCTCCAGTTTGATGATTGAAACTCCTAGCCGTGACACCGCCTACTGCTTATCAATCACTCTTAATCTACATTCCAGACCATACTCTTGTATTTATGTTTTCGCAAGAGGAGAATCTGAGGAAAGGATTATCAATTGTTGACTTTTACAGAGGAAGCGTTTCGCAGAGAGATCCTGGTCAGTGAGTTGGACGCAGCGTTCACCATGAAGGTCTCGACCTACAAGACGATATTCTTCGCGATTGCCTTCACTCTTCTGGCAAATAATGGTGTTTTTGGCTTCAGAATCTCCACAGAAAGCAAAAATACGACGAACCCTTCCAATGAAACGACGCCAATCCACAAGATGCACAGAGAAGCAATTTTAGGTAAAGTAGCATGGTCAAGTTTTGTGATAGAACTGACGTCCCTAGAAATGCCATGTATTTTTGATGTATTAACGGAAAAGTTAACGCATTTATTTCTTTACTTGTTCCTTTTAGAGGCCCTTAACGTTGATACGTTATATGCTACAAAATGTCGCAAGCAATCACTAATAGCGTCACGGGATTAAGATAATTTTCATAATGCGCACAGTATGTTTTAAGTACAAACGGCTTCAAATCCTTCTGTTCTACGAATCTTTATTACAAAACCCAATTTACCACAAATAGCTGTATGAAGAAGTAACTTTTTAAGAAATCTCCGCAAATCGATACCTTGTTTTCTTTAAGACAACTCTGTCAATTTTACGCACTCGAACACTAAGACTTCTGCCATGACTATCATCGGTCAATCTTTCGTTTGATGTATTATGAAGAACAAATGACTCACTAACACCGTACACATTACGAAAACAGCAAAATATCAATATATGAAGAAAGTGAATGCAATTTGTCTTACTGCTGGGGCACTTAAGACCTTCCGGCTTCCTTGATGGTTAAAAGAACTCCTCGTGTGAACAAACACATGTCCGGTTTAGTTTACAATAAATGTGAGACATAATTGATCTTCCGTTAAAAGGTAAAAACCACGTAACGCGAGTGAATTTTAGCATCGAATTCCATGAAAGATGGATTGTAGACGTGTGGTAGGGAGCTTATGGCCAATCTTAGATAGCGGCCTGGACCAGCTCTTGCCTTTTCTAAAAGCGACTCTCAGAATTTTTATCGAACGATTCTATTGACCAAAATTTTAAAGCTTTCTAGAGAATTTGTAATTGAAAACTTTAAATAAATAAAATGGCGCACAGGAACTAGTCTATTGAAGATGAGAGCGTGAGAAATATCTCACGCGAATTGGCGTGATTTAAAAACATTTTACCCACGGAAAGGAAGATTATCGTGTTTGGTCAGTAGTTAGGCGTTTTCGTCAATAATTTCGTTTTCAGTTGGTGGTGTTAAGTTTTGCAGTCAATTTTCATAATGACACTTTTTGTTTAAATCTAACCTTTATCCAACAAATTTAACTTAAACTCTCTTGGTTCACCTAAAATATTAAGTCCAGCTAGCCGTTCTGGATCTATTTAGTATTACAACGGCATCATCAGATAAAACCCAAAGATTATTTCAACGGGATTTGTATTATTTCAGGAGGGAAATAGTTAAGCCAAAACAGGCCAACGGCCAAAAAAAAAAGGATGCATTTGGAGAAATCATTACATTTGTCATAAGTGAAAGGCAGGGAGCCACATCAGAATTCCCACCTTTTTTGGCCAAGTGGCGGTAATTGCACCACAAAGAGTGGTACATGTTTTATGTGATATGTGGCCGTGGCTTTAAGATTGTACCCATAACATATGTTATGACGACAGACCGAGCTGTTTTCGGAACCTTAAGGACGCGCGAGCTCGTAACTTGAGTTGAGGATAATTTTTTACACCTCTTTAAGTCCTCCATAATAATTATTTTACCATCAAAAAGGAGATTTTAACACCTTGTTAATCAGTACTGCATATGTGTGTATGTGTTTGAATTACGTTTCCTGAGAGTAGGACAGTGTAATTACGTAAATTCCGCTACCATAGTACAATGTTTACAACTCATGCTGTTCGCCGCAAAACCTTTCTATCTAAAGCAGATGTTAGCCGCATTGTAACATTTCCCTAAGCTTTTAGTCGTTTAAGCTCGGAACACGTCAAATAGGTTTTGGGTTACTTTTAATTAGTAACAAACATAAAAGTATTTACAATAACCCTCGTGCATAGCTTTCCTCAGCATTTCATCACAGGCAGAAATCATTTAGAAAAAAATGTTGATGGCATTTTTTGTTGGCACACCGTAGAAAAGAACATTGAAACTAAACCGTAAATCGACTTAAACTAATGATTCGTTTATGTCAAAATGATTTTCTGAAAGAGGAGTGTTTTTCAAATCGCAACTTTGTAACGTCATTATTAAATCAGTTGTAAGATTTTCAGTACTTTATGTCCCAAGGACGGTTTAACAATCAGTTTTGTTAACATTGGCAACTTTCCCTAAAGTACTTATATTCTGATTCAAGTGACCCGAGCGGTCAAGAATTTGGCCTGGCACATTTCTCCAGATTTGTTGATTAAGAGCACTTAGTTAAAAAATTGTCAAAATTATTTTATTTTTAAAGTTTAGGTGTAACAACCTTTCAGCTTCATGTCTACTAAATTGTTTTTAAATCACGCCAATTTGCGCTCTCACGCTCGCATCTTCAATAGACTAGTTCCTGTGCGCCATTTAGTTTATTTAAAGTTTTCAATTACAAACTCTTTAAAAAGCTTTCAAATTTTGGTCAATAGAATCTTTCGATAAAAATTGTGAGTTTCAGGGAAAGGTATAATGTCGTTTTAACATATGGATCATTGTGTTTTATGTTTTCAACGGCCTCTTCATTTCTCCTCGGATCCTTAAGAATTCCTCCTTACAGTATTACAGCTGAATCAAACACCAAGATTACGAGAGGGGAAGAAATTCTCGCCGAAGAAGGAAGCTCTTGATTGTTAAGCAAATTCCTCTACATACGTATGGTCTGATGTTATTATTTTTGACTTTTTGCGACATCCTGTAAGTTTAACAAAAGTATAAACGTGAACTGCTTTAACCTTTTAACTCCCATGTGTGACCAAGACAGAATTTCTCTTTACAATATCAATGCAATATCAAGCAGACAAGTGATGAGAATAAATATTAATTAGGGGATTATTGGTTGATCCAATACCAAATTCTCAAAACTAACGTTACAAGAACTATGTGGCAGACAGTAAGGAGAATTACCAATGAGATCTTGGGAATGAAAGGTTTAAAAAGAGAATTTAAAGGAGTAAATCATCGGCCCTTTTATTGGGTTGATACATGTTGTTTATCATGCTTTAACGTACTTCAAATAACAGCACAGAAGTAAAGATAAATCAAAACAGAGAAAGGATGATGAAGGCCGGCAAGATGAACGCGATGCTTAGGGACAGCAAAGACTAATTGGATTATGAATGATACTCGAACCATAAATTAATTCTTTATTTTTTTCTCATTGACTTTGCAAAAGATGGAGGATGTGATTTTGACGAGGATTTTTGTAACTGGGCGAATGAAACAAGTGGAGATGACTTTGATTGGATTCGGCTGAAATCGAGAACACCAAGTAGCAATACTGGACCTAGGAAAGATCGCTCTGGAGAAGGTAGGACTCTGCAATCATCACTCATAGAGATATTGGATGGCTTTTTCCTAAGTGTCGTTGGCGAAAAACCAAACTAATTGCAAAGACCAATCAATGCAAAGGAAAATAACAAAAAGAGCCGATGAGTAGGGTATTTTAAAAGCGCGGTAAAACGCGGGGCAATAAAGTTTTTATGTTAGTTCTCTTATCCCAAATGTATGAAAAGTGAGTTTTATAAGTATTTTTTTTCTGCATTTTTCGCATCTTTTTACCCAAGATCACCCTTACATCAGCGATCCCCAATCATAAACTTTTGCTTTTCTCGCTAAACCAACTTTGAATTTCTCAATTTTTTTCAAAGTACGGCTTGTCTCGCGTAATTTAACTCACATCGTTTCTTGCTTGTACTTGATTCTGTTTCCTGTTCTCTTTAAAAGTTGGTATGATTCTGCCATTGTTGTCGTTTTTTTGTGAAATTTTATCCGCCCATACATTTTCTTTATGTAACACTTTTACTACAAGTTCCACCTGAACTTAGTTTCGTCATAAAACTAACCCGTAAGACTTTTGTGTCCCAGGCTTCTATATCTACGCCGAGGCGTCATGGCCGAGGAAAGCTGGTGAGACTGCTCGTCTCCTTGGAGGTCCGTTTTCCGGTATAATGTGCATGCGTTTTTTCTACCACATGTATGGAAGACACATAGCAGATCTACAAATCTACCTAAAGGAGGATGGGATGGAGAATTTTGTCTGGGGCCGATATAAAAACCAAGGAAATACCTGGAGGTACAGCAACGTCACAGTCTTCGGCAACAATTACACAGTAAGAGAAAATGAAATAGTTTATACTTGTGTGTGCGGAACTTCTGACTGATGTGCTGAGTCTTATTTTTCAGTGAGAGTCGTTGAAACCACTTAGGCCTTAGGGGAAGTTATGATTGATAACCAGGAATGTCTTTTTTATCGGGTGAGGCCATGTTTCGTGCTCTTGTCTCCAAAGATTGCTACGTCACAGGTAGCTTACGTACCAGTCTTTTCAGTTTCCTCCTATTCGAGCACGAAAAGCGTAAGCTTGTGGGCATGGAACGGAGAGGGGGGGAGGGCGTGGTCGTGTTACGTGTTAAAAAGAAAGAAGGAAGAGCCTTTCTTTGCTTTAGCTCATGATATTTCCAGTTATGCTGAAAAGAAACTGAAAACATTGCAGGTCATGGGAGAAGTTTACAGTGTTCTTTTAAGTCAATCTCTGGCTTCTAGACTGATCATAAATTATTTTCCCGCAGATTATATTTGCTGCCAGAGTGGGCAAGTCCTATCAGGGTGATATTGCCTTGGATGAAATAACGTTTGTCAATGGAACTTGTGATGGAAAGGAACTTAATTATTTGCCTCGCAACTTGACGGTGCACTCAGATATGAAAAGAGGAGAGACAGGTATTGTATTTGATTATTATCAGCTACTGGCCGGCGGGTAACTGACTGAGTTTCTACTAAAAAATGACAGTTAGACTAACTGATCGGCTGACTGACTTACAGAAGACCACCCACTTGTTTACTCACCTATGTGAGTTACCAACTGCCTAACTCACTAACTGACTGGGTGTTGGACCAACTAACTGACTAACTGACTGATTGACCACTTGACTGACGAAAAGACACTACGTGCGAACCACGTACTGACACTCCGATATACAACGGATGGATTTTATGATTGACTAAATCACTGAATATAGCGGAGTTGGCTTGGGTGACTCAATGTCATTCTGAATGGGTGTTTAACGTTTATTCCTACGTAATTGTATTTAGGGACGTGCGACTTTGATGGTGGGTTTTGTGAATGGATCAATCTGCCCCTTGGTGATGAATTCGACTGGACTTTAAACAGTGGAGCTACAGGAACAGTAGACACTGGTCCAGAGAAAGATCACACCGGATACGATGGTGAATTGGTTTCATATTTTATCGTATCATTAAGAATTCTACGAAGACTTTAGCCTGCTTAGTGTGACCACATGATCGTTGAATCGCATATCTAATCCAAACTTATAATTTGTTTGTCATCAGGCGCATATATATTTATTGAGGGGTCTGCACCCCAGAGATATGGAGACAGGGCGCTGCTGATGGGCCCACGCATTTGCGGAAGAATGTGCCTTCAGTTCTTTTACAGCATGTATGGGGATCGCATGGGCAAGCTGAGTGTTTACAAGAGAGAAGGTGTGCGTAGTGACGATCTTTTGTGGACTATGTCGGGACATCAGGGACCAGATTGGCACGAGGCTTTAGTTGATATCGGAGGAGCTTGTTACCAGGTGCTCTAATATTTTGTTATCCTCTAAGATAAGAAGTTCTTGCCAGCGAGGTAGAGAAATTCAGTCTTTGAATTCAGAAGGCTTAAAAATTTTTCACATATCATTGAGTTGGAACTTCGGCTCCCTAAGCTGTAAGACAGTGCTAAGAAGTTCGATTGAGAAAGGAACGCAAATTAGTGATTCACATTGGCACACGTGAATCGTACGCAATATACTCGCGTGTTCTGCTTGTTCACGCGCGTGTCGCTTGTGTTCTCTTCCAGTGACAATAGCGCGGGCCAAACCGACTGAAATAGATGAGTAGCTTCAGTAAGCAACCTGTGAAGTCATCGAACTTCACTGAAATATCTATAGGTAAACTTTACCGAAAACATTTAGTCCGAGTAAAGAATATCTTACGCGAAAGCGTAAACATTGGTTAGGTTAGATTATAGGCGATAGAAATCGTGGCTAACCTCTAGTACTAACATGATCCTTCAAATTTAAATTGCAGATTATTATTGAAGGCGTTGTGGGTCCTTCTTATCTTTCTGATCTTGCTGTGGACGACATTTTCTTTAGCAAAGGAACCTGTTGTCAGTTGAAACAAGATTCATTCGATGCTGGGTTGATTGGTGAGTCAAAGCAAACCGAACAAACAGCAAAAAAGTAACATAACTGTTCATCTTGCGTGGAACGCTATCGGAATTTATTTGCGTGTGTTGTTAATCAACATGTGTATCGTGATCGGATTTTCCAGGATCGTGCACCTTAGAAAAGTCAATGTCACAGATACGATTAAAAGCAGAAACTTCGTTTAATTAACGGAACAAATGATGGAGCCCTGCTCGATTTTGCGTCAAAAATATTCATCTAACTCATTTAATTAGTTGGCCCGATAGTTTGCGCGTGAAAGGCCGGTCTTGAGCCTGATCCTTTAGTCTTGGGAAAGACACCGAGTTCTCATATTACCTCTATACCCTCGGGAGTATACGCAAGTACTGGCGAGGCCTTAGCTCAGACATCTGAACGTTTGATTCAACCTAATCGTAATAGACCTTAGATCCTTGTTGCCTTGTGCGCTTAAAACATACGGAAATTATACCGTCATTTCCCCAGGTAACTGCACATTTGATGAAGGATTGTGTAAATGGATAAATGATCCCAATGATGACTTTGATTGGCAGCTGATAGAGGGAGGGACTCCAAGCGAAGAAACAGGTCCAACTGCTGGTTATGAAGGAGAAGGTTAGATGCCTTGGTATTGTGACCCCGTAACATCTTCATATTGACATTAAAATCATGCATGTCTTTTTTAGTGCTTAGGAACTTTGTGCTAATAAACGGGAATCTAACAAACCCTCTGAGACCATACAAGAAGGAGCACACTTCTTACTTGGCTTGTCAAATGGACCGAAAAAATTCAAGTTGAGATAGCATCTAATGGCATATAGTTAGGGGAGGTTACTATAAATAAGTTGGCCAAAGGAGTTGCCTTCGGTCCCGAGTTAATGTAAAGCTGCTTAATCATGGATTAGATAAGAGTTGACACAGCGCCCTACATAATTTGCTCGATCAAATTATCCGCGAAGGATTATCATCTTATCTGCATAAAGATGGGCAGCTTTAAAGGTTTAAATGACTCTGAAAACTTTATTTTAGGGTGCGCTCGTATCTTTGTAGTTGTACCAATTTTGTCCTTTATGGCACCAGATTTGTTTCGTCTTATTTCTTAAACGAGCAGTTTTCTAGATTTTATTATTTTTGTTTAGATTATTATTAAGCAAAATTCATTAAATTATACTATAATTTTTTTACTTCATTTGCCTAGTTTTGTGACTTCGTTCACTTGAAAATTATTCTGGTTACTGTAAGAGGCTGAGGGTGATTTTGAAAAAGGAAAAATGAAATTGAAAAAAGGGAAAGGCAAATGAAAGGCGTGCTGCGCAACGAACCCTTAAAACGGCAGTGAATGAGATTAAAAGATAACTAAAACTTACCTCTTTCACAGCACATCATTTTTTACCCTTTGTTTTACATTATATTTTCTTCCTCAAAGGTCAGTACCTTTATGTGGAATCATCAGAGCCCAGACGATTCGCTGACAGAGCAATCCTGACCAGCGGTTTATTGAAGGGCCTTCAGTGCATGCGCTTTAGATATTATATGTTTGGTCAAGATATGGGTTCGCTCTCTGTTTATCGCGTGGGCGACGGAATAATGAGGGGCCGGTTATGGCGTCGCTATGGAAACCAAGGTGACAAGTGGCACGAAGCACGAATAACTCTTCCTTGTAACTCAACGTCGTATATGGTAAGGTCTTGAACTTTTGCACACAGAGTTAATTTCTTAAACAAATTTATTTCATGTTGCCATGCATCGGTTCAGTAATAGGTCACAGATGACCTTAAGAGGCGGCAGAACAAGAATGTGGCACATGAGTGTGTCACTGATGTTCCTATCGCCTTTTGACGTCGTCCGTGATGTATTACCGAACAGACCCACGGCAACCTAAAACCTATGTTTTACATAGCAAAAAAGGCAAAAAAAAAAAATGCGACGTCTTCAATGCGTCTCTCCTCTGATAGATCATAGGAAGGAACCAACCAAAATGCATATATAATTAACACTCTTCGCCAAAGCGGAGGTAAATAACCACCACTTTCTCCGACGCTGAGGTGAATAGTTTTGTTTCATTATATACCTCAAAAAAAGAAAAAACTAGTTTATTTCTTTCAATATACCAAAAAATGGTCGGAAATTAAACTCTTGACGCGCGATTTTGTCTCTTCGACCTCCCGGAGGTGATTAGTTCTTGCTTTTTACCTCCGAACTAACCAATCAGCGCGCGCGAAGAGCTCTGTTTACTTGTGTGATATATACAAATTCATGTTGTTTACATCATTATTTACATCAACCATTCACATCACAGTATTGAAGCCAACCAATCTTGTCTGTCCCTTGTCATCATAGAAACGACGCCAAAAGTTGTTTCTTTTCATTTGCTTTGTTTCTTGATCGTTAGCATCCATGTCCCTTGTATTTTCCTCAGCGCTGTTTGAAGGGTGAAGCCTTCTTTGAATAACCTGATATGTTTGATCCTCAATGTGTAGCAATGAGGATTACGAGAAAACGATAATACTTACTAATTTACTGTCACATACGCTTTAGTAAGTAAAGGCAGAAACCTAAACGAATAACCTTAGCTCACAGTTGTCAAATAAATGAAATTCTTTTAGATACAAATCGAAGCGGTTATTGGTGTATGGAGAAGTGACATAGCCATTGACAAAATCGAGTTCACGAAAGGTGCTTGTCCTCCATTCCAACGTGCTATCACTGCTGCTACAACGTCAACGACGTCCGCAACTACACCGACCCTTCCAGCACATTTATTGGTTGAAAGTAAGGAAAAATCTCTCTTTATTTTTTTAAAATGCAACCTTTCATAATATTACGTCAGTTTCTTTCTTACTTACTTACCTACTTATTCACTTACTCATACACACGACCCAACTTGATGCCTTAAATTTTGGTTGCTGTTGAATGTTTTTTGTGTGTGTTAGTAAATTTCAATTGATATTCTATCCGCTCCATATCAACACACATTAGCACGAAGAGAAGTGTCAGGATATAGTTGAAACTGATCTTGCGCCACCTCAAGGATAAAAGCAACAAAGAAGTGAAAAATGTCTTATTTTACTCAACTGACTTTTGCTTTGCCAGATGATTGTTCATTCAAGGGACATTTCTGTTCCTGGATAAACGATAACAACGATGACTTTGATTGGCTGATAAACAGTGGGGATACGATGACTCAGAACACTGGGCCCACTTCCGATGCGGACGGAGATGGTGAATACGAAATATTTTTCCTCTGTGGCGAAAGAGCGCTTCGTAGTTTTCCAAAAAAAAAATTACCTAGGCTTAGTTTCATGTTGAAGTGTTATATGAGGACTGACTTTAGGACTGGGCTTTTCACTGTTACCAAATTTGAAACCAAAGTGGCTTGACAATTTTAATCAAATGATCAGATTCCAGAGCTACTCGTGATGCAACAGACTCCCATCAGTTCGCCTCAATGGTGCCCACTCCTAGCTATTCCCGAGGTACAGGGGTGATGTGAGGGCTGAGTTTTTCTCCAGGAATAGAACCTTAAGACCCGGCTTCCTCCTTGCAAACCATCAGACTAAGTCATCAAATACCTTTTTCGCAAAATCATGTCGGGCTCAGCAGAGCTGAATAACATACGTCACAGGTGTGCGGTCAATAACGCGAGCTCAAGCGTACGAAGTTTAAAATTCAACAAAATTAGCAGGTAAAAAAGGGGCTGGCGTTTAAAACCAAGAAATTTTGATGTCACTGAAGGTATTTTCCTATTTCAAGTGTTTGTAAGGAGGAAATTAATTTTTGAAAATAATTAGGAGGTGTACAAAGTTTTTGGAGTGTAAAAAATAGTGGCAGACGTTATTCAGCTCTGTCGTCAGGCTCCATAATTTGTTGCCTGGTTCTACGTTAAGACAATTTCTCAGCAATGTGAGGGGAATAAATGAAAGGATCTGAGTTACTTCCCCAGGAATAGAATCTTAAGACCCGGCCATTATAATTGTCGTCTGCGTTGTCATTGGCTTTGTCGTTGTCATCATTATCATCATTATTCTTATTTCAATTTTCTTATTATATCGAAGGTTGGTATATTTATCTAGAAGCCTCTCTGCAAAAAAGTGGTGAAAAGGCCAAGCTGCTAAGCGGATACATGACTGGAACCCAGTGCGTACAATTTAAGTACCACATGTTGGGGTCTGGAATCGGTACTCTTAGGGTTTATCAAATCAAAAGAAAAGACTCAACACCAAGAGTGGTTTGGTACCGAGTCGGAGACCAAGGGGAAGACTGGAAGAATGCACAATTTAATTTGTTCGGGAGATTTTATAGGGTAAGTTTAAGATGTCTAGGAGATGTCTTTCACTGAAGTCAAGTGTATGGGTGTATGGGTATATAACTGATCTCTTGATTGTAGAAAGCGCCGCTTGTCTTTCCGACCAGATGGAAACGATCACGATTTGTATTTCCGGATTAGGCTAACAGTTATGTTCCAGAAGATTCTAAATTGTCAGACTTTTACCGAAACTATCAAAGCGCATTCCAAATGTTTAAAGGAAATTAAAAGGTGACACCTTTTATGGAAATTACGGATCAGACAAGTGCTCAAATAAATTTGAAGACAGATTATCTTCTTAACTTGTCGAGGCCACTATAGAATGTAAGACCAAACATCCATTGGAACAGGAAAATCCTGGATCTTTGAGGTTTTTTCTGGATAGGGTGACGTTAAGTTTTATCACATTTAACAGTACCTCTGATTAACCTTCGTTATTTCCTTCCTTGAATTAATTGCAAGTGTCAATGGAAATTTAAATGAAGCCTTTTAGCCATGTCTCCTTCCTGTGTCTTATAGCACATGCATAGTTCAATCCCCTTTCGGGGACCTAAGCCTGTTCTGTTTGTTTCTCTGCAGGTTTTCATTGAGGGTGTACGAGGTTCAACTTTCGAAGGGGACATAGCAGTGGACTCTATAACATTTACACCCGGAAGATGCGTGGTAAGAGTCAGTGAAGAAGAAATCCAAGCGGACAGCCATCTAGCATTAGGTGAGAACTCTGCGTTGCATACCAAGGTGTTACCTAGATTGACTTAAACTTGGATTGGCGGATCGAGGTTTGTTTCATTCTTAAATAGGAAAAAAAAACGTCTACTCGGTAGCTATGTTCCTACCTCACCGCGAGAGAAAATCGAAAATTTTCAAACCAGCATAAACAGCTGACCAAAAAGAAACAAAAAGTGACATTTCAAGCCATCTAGAAACAGTAGGATTTGACCTCCCGGAAAGAGGTTCTCTTTCTGTAAGTACAGCAAAAAGGTTTGGAAAAAAGTGTCGGTTATTCTTTTCCCCAGGAGTGTGTTCCTTCGACTCAGGTTTTTGCCAGTGGAGAAACGAGGGAAATGAGGACCAGTTTGATTGGTCAATCACTGAGGGTGAGACGCCCTCGAAGGGCACTGGGCCACTAACTGGATTTGGCGGATCAGGTAATTTTGGCGCACTTGCCATTTCTCTGGTAATTATGTACATGAAAAAATTACGCGCTTCTGATTGGCTTAAAACGAGTGCATTCTCATGTAACACGATTGCAAAGCTCTAACACGAGAGCAAATTATAAATAGCGCGCGCGCACACACTTTCAAAATTTCGTCTGTCTTGACTTTCTGCGATGTTTTTTCATGTACATTATTAACAAGTAATGACATGATTTCTCTTGCAATTTGGTGTAATAAGCACCCGTTCATTTTTTTGAGACTAAAAAATTGCTCTTGCCCTGCGGGCTCGTTTAATTTTGTTGTCTTTGAAAAATTAATCGTGCTTATTTCCACCAAATTGTACTCGAAAAAACTGATGCAAATTTGTAACCCTTAACTCACGAGTACCAAGACGGAATTCTCCCTAAAAAATATCATAAAAAACTCAAGTAGACAAGTTATGAAATATAAAATATCACCAATTGAATAGGAGATTGTATGGCAATTAAGGAGTATAGAGAATTATAAATGATTTCTTGAGAGTGAAGGGGTTTAGTCATCGATTCGGCTTTGTGAATTCTTTAAATCCTCACCTAAAACTCGAGGAAAAGACTCCAACTTAAAGTATATTTGCGTTTTATTAATGCTAGGAAAGTACGCTTTTATCGAGTCCTCCTCTCCTCGAAGGGCTGGCGACAAAGCCATGTTGACAATATATGGTTCTGGAGAGGACCGCTGTCTGCTCTTTGCTTACCACATGTCAGGCAAAGATATAGACAGCCTGTCTGTGTATAAACAAGAGCTGGGAAAAGGAATCCTACCTGCCTTGCTATGGAACAGTAATGGAAACCAGGGAGACGACTGGAAAAAAGCTAAAATTGGTATTAAAGGAGGTAGCCAATATAAGGTAAGATGCAAGTTACAAATATCTCCGTCATTAATTTGAGCGTACGAATTGGCTATAGCAAAACGCTGAAATTTAGAGTATAATTAAAAACTGATGGCAGCAAGTTGAAATGAAACGTTTCGGCCACATTTTTGGGTCAAAATCAGCTTTCTTCATTTCACAGCGCAATGTTTAGTAGGCTACACTTGGCTGACGCGCGTCTCAGATAAATTTTTTTTTTCAGAGAAAATGAATTCTCCGAATCCGTTGTGATTTCCTTTGATTTTCGCTTTTACTAATTCCTAATTCCAACTTCCTTCCCATTCAGTTAATCATCGAAGCTGTAAGGGGTCGAAACTTTCGAGGCGACATTGCGATCGACGAGGTTGGCTTTAACAAGGGCTTCTGTGGAAAGCAAGTACGAATGGTGAAAGCAGGGAATAAATCGGGAAACAGCAAATAACAATTATGCGATCCGCGCCGATGAGAAAGAACTTCTTCTGACCAACTGTCCCATCACAAATGACTTCAGAACAAAGCATTGCTGACAGTTTGATTACCTACATTTTGCATTATTAATATATATACGGTATTCCGCTCGTGTTGTGGATGATTTTGAAGGTGTTCTATTATTGTTTTGAGATATTTATTTGTTTGTTGTTGTTTTTTTTAATTCAATTTTTGTAGTTCTTCTGGTTGATCGTTTCTTGTTACTGTTGTTGTTTCGTAAAAGGCAAAATTTTTCGAAGGACAACTTCAATGCTCAATTTCTACGATTACTTAGCTTCGCAAGTGTAAAGTGCGCTGCCTTTTGAGCCGTATTAAGCAATGCAAAATAAACTGTCACTTCCTGCTCGGATGACGGATTACAATTTACAATGGCGACATAGCACTACTATTTGCCTGTATAAAGTGGTAAAAGGTTTTTAGAAACTTTTAGAAATTTTCTAGAAACTAACAGTGGTTTTATTCAATCAAGAGAGATCCTGAGTCAAAATTATTTAGCAATTTAGTTAAGACCAGATATATTGTTTGATGAGCGGCTGGTGAGCTTCTCTTGTTCAACAGCTGATTCTCGCGTTACATTGTGTGACGTTACCTATTGAAGCGTGACACATGGCACTGCAGACGAACTCTTGGCTGAAAATTTATTGTTTTAATGATTAAATTTCGTTTATCCTGAAGTTATCACTTCTTGGATTAAAATCGGTAGGAATTTGAAATACTCTTTATTCAAAATTCCTTATATCAGCTGAAGATGTCGCAGCAAATGAAATAGAAGTTGCACAAGACAGATTCTACGACCTCTTTATGAGGAGTCTATGAATAATACATTTGTAAAGAAAGAAATATCGAAATTGGCTAATTTTTTATTTCCTTTTGTTCTTCAGTAAATAGAACAATTTTAAATAATTTACAGAAAAGAAACTTCAAAGGTGCCTCTACTTAACATCTTTTAAGATGCATTCATAGGTTCCAAAAATCATGCGATGCATGACCATTAAAGTAATAAAATATGCCTCCTGTCGAGTAATTTTTTTTTTTTTAACGATGTTCAATGCAAACAGCGTGCCAATTTGGGGATGGTCTTTGACTCGTGCTGTGTGAGATAAGATTAACGATTCAGATAGAGGAAGGAGACATAGCTAAAGGGCTTGATATCAATTTTCAGTGATCCTTCCAATTAATTTTAGGAAGGAAATTGCAAAGGTTAATCAAAGGTAGGGATAAAAGTTATAAAAATTAAAATCACCCTACTCTCAAAAAACTTGAAAGACTCAGGATTTTCCTGTTTCAGTGGATGTTTGATGTTGCATTCTGTAGTGGCTTCGAAAAGTTAAGATGATAATCTGTCCTCGAATTAATTTGAGCACTTGTCTGATCCGTAATTACCTTAAAAGGTAATCACCTTTTTATTTACTTTAAACAAGGAATGCGCTTTGACATTTTCGGTAAAAGTCCGACAATTTAGAATCTTCTAGAGCATAACTGTTAGCCCAATCCGGAAATACAAATCGTAATCGTTTACATCTGGTCGGCAAGAGAAGCGGCGCTTTCTTCAGTCAAGAGGATCAGTTATATTAATTGCTTTTTGGAGACTCGCACACTTAACCTTAGTGAAGGAAGAATTGCAGACAAATCAATAGCAAATGAGGTTATTTGTCCCGTGTTACGTCCATTTTTTTTTTTATTTCCGTCCATTTATCGTCCATTTTACCCGAAGAACAAGAATCTATATGTTAGAAATAATATTTGGTGCAATCAGTGCACAAAGGGCAAATAGAAGTTAACGATCAAAGGGACCAAATTACTGACAAGGGAAATTATTTTAAAAAATGACAAGCAAAATGTGGTTTGGCCTTGAAGATTGCCTATAAGTTAATAATTAACCAAATTATCAGTTCCATCAGCTAACGGGCTGTTGTTTATCAATACCCCTCGATGCCTAACTCAGCTTTAAGAAATGGGGTATTTCTCGTTGAACTGTTCTTGAAAACAGTCTTTGACCAAAAATGATAAAATGTAAAGAGTCGTGCAGGTGCGCTTTCACCCCTACAACTTATGTCAACACCAGGAAACTGAACGGATCAGTTGTAACAGCGAAGAAGATTCTAGAACTATTTTGCTAAGGTATTTAATAACGTGGAGACAATGTATTTTCAACATGAGAACACACTGATTTAGGTCGTTCACTTCAGCTTAGGGAGGAAATCGACATGATGTATCAGTTTTGTTTCCTTATCATAACGATGCAAATTTTTTGGAGTGCAGCATTGCCCGTTCAGCAACGTAAAACCCTGACTGGAAAAGAGGGTGAGTTAAATTAAGTTTTGTTCTATTACAATTATTCCAGAAGAGTTTGTCATGGACTTCTATAAGCAGCGTTCGGCCACACTTCTTATGTAGAGTGGAAGAAAAACTTTAGAGTGCTCACAAACATTGTAGAGAACAAACAGAAAACTCTGGAGTTACCTCATTTAAGGAAGAGTGTTGTGGAAAGCTTTGAAAACTTGATGTAGTTTAAAAGGATGTGCTTGCGCGGTACGAAACGGTATTGTGAAGTGGTGTAAAAGGTTTAGTTAAGTGAGTGAAAAAACTGTGTATATTGTCATAACTAAAAGGAGGAAGAAAGAGAGAGGTTTTTAATATGCCTAAAAAACTAGGGAATAAAAGCTAAAAAAGAAGTGAAGATTTAGTTTAGATAGAAGATTTTAGGAAAATGAGAGTAGATTTTTTATCAATTCAGTTGATCAAAGTAGTTTGGGGAAGGGAAGACATATGATTGAAAGATAAGTCAGCTTCAGGCATTTCGTATGTAAGAACAGGAGAACATCCTCACAATGATACCCTCCACTCATTCTTCGTAATTCTTGTCGTTCTGCATCGTGTGCCCCAGAATGGAGACATCAACAGAAAAAGGGTCATCCCAACTTCTTTTATTCTAACTTGTCTCCCCCAGATCTTATTCCTACCGATTCTTCTTCTCCAGTTAGATACTGATAAACAAGCCACCCTTGCGCACAAAAGCTTCCATAGTTAACACCCTCTAGAAACTTCCTCGTGTAAATATTTTTAGATCAGATTTCACCGTGGGTCAGCTGGAAAACTTTTTAACTGGAGTGAATAAACAGACGGTAAACCTTAACCGTGGCTAATGTTTGGTCCTTGGATGGAAAAAAAAAAGCGATTGCATGTTCATAACTATTTAAAGGGAGTGTAGTAAAAGCCAAAAGTCATCTATGTGGCGTGAACGACCACCCTTATTTAGTTCATCTCTTCAGCCACTTTGATGAAGCGTTTGGAAAAATTTTTTTAGCATGACTCAGAAAGATTTCAGTTCGCATCCTTCAGCTAAAAACAAGGCTTTTTATTAATAATGTCCAGGGTATGAGATCCAAAGGAAACACGTAACATTCAGTTAGCATGTCTAGGAATGATTGCTGCACATTTTCAAGGTGAATGAACTGAAACAGGCATCCCCTTGACTCTTGTGAGCACCACCCACATACTTGTGGTTTTACTCTGTCAGTTATCTCGACGAATTTCAAGCTACGGAAAATCTTTCAACTTACGGTGGAAAAATTGATTAATTAGGTTAAGAACGATTAGCAATGCTACCATTTGATAATTATCTCTTTGCTTATGTCTAGCTATGCTACACAGAGCATTCTGGGATGAACGTATTTTCGTGTATTGCCTTCTTGTGGAATCTCTGCCTCGTCAGGTTTTCAATTCGATTTCTTTAGTCGCAACGTAAACTAAATAATCTTTCAATTTCTTGCGAAATTCCTTGCATAGATGTCATCTGGTGACGGCCATTCTGATATGCTCTCCTCAAATGTAAGATATACAATCAATTATAGCCGTAGGCAAAAGTATTGCGGGAAATATCATATTATGATATTTGGAACTTGAGTGTTAAGTGGCTCATCATCTAGACACTTAAGATGTTTACACTTAATTAAATTATTCATCTTAAGAATATTCTAGAGCGTAACAGTCAGCTTTATCCCGAATTAAGCATACTATCCTGTTCACTTTTTAGGAAGAGAGAACAATCACACATTTTCTTAAACTTTTGATTAGGCGAGACAAGAACAAGAGCCATTGTCACAGCTGTGGCGATTTTAGAAGGATAGTAACTTTCCCGCACTTAATATTTATCTTTCTATCTGCAGTTTTTTAACGCATCCTAACAGTATTCTTTAGTTGAGCAACTAGAAAATGTAATTTTCTGAACATGGACATCCATATGACTCTGGCAGGTTAACCAGATCCATTAAGGTTTTTTTTATTAAATTTCGCGACCCACAGGCAGGTATTTTCTCCTTCTCAAATCGCGAATGAATGAAAGATGCTAGTATTTAGTGTAAGAATGATGGCACATTTTCAAACTCGCCTATACATCGTCGTCGTGGGGAGATCAAATTTCTTTCTTTGGCTCTCTCAACTGACAAATGAAATTTTCTTTTATTTCTTCGACTACTGAGCTTAAAAGTTCTCCCGTGACGCTTTCGACACTGCTGATCCCAGCAGTCTGCAGGACGTGTGTCATTCGTGAACTCAGCAATTTCCCAGCTCAACCTTAAGAGTCCCTGTGGCTTAATGGTAGAGCATCGGAGCGCGAAACGTGAAGGTCTGAGGTTCGTGAGATTCTTAGTTGAAGACTCTTCGTCGTTGATGTTACTGTTGTTTTATTCGTGATACAAAGTAACGGCTTTGAATTTGATAGACACACTCATGTGCTGATGAAACATTTCAAATCGAGTGATTGTTCAAATCAACCGCACTCCTTGATCTCCTCGTGTTCTGAAAGGGACATTTATTTGCATACCCTAACGGACGTTCGCAATATTTTAAAGGGATGCCCCTCAATCGATTATTCTTAAACGGAGCTTAATCCAGTTTTCAGTGGGATGGCTGTATATATATGTCAGGCCAGGTGAGAAAACAAGAACCCTTTATTTAAATTTTGTCTGATAGCCATCTAAAGCTTGATAAGTTTGTAAATACCCAAACAATATGATTTTAAAATATCTTACGTAATTATCAGATTAACGAATTTCACCATCTTGGTAAGATTAAGTTGTCATATGAATTAAACAGCTCATAAATTGAATGTTTGTAGAATAAACCAGCTAAGAGAAAGTCCTATATGCAATTTTCGTTACAACTGGACATTTTACTTTCATTACTGAGTTCGCTTACTTCAATTAATCTGTTAGTTCTTAGGGAAACTGAAAATCAATGGACCTTAAAATAGCAAGAGATCGAGTCAAGACTGTTTTTAATCAACAAATGTGATCCATTCCCCTTTGTCTAACAGAGATCGATGGATGATATTTTCTTTCAAAAGAGACTAGCCTCTTGGTATATTGGCGCCAGATTGTCAAGCAACAGCTCTCAAATGCAAAATGCAATCCATATGTCACTTTGTTCATATTGTAATTCGAAAAAGATGAAATTCTACCGACCATATTGACCACGTACCCTCTTTCAACCGCACTGGCTTGTTTTAGGTATAGTTTGGAAAAATCTACCCACAGCCTTTATCCGCTGCTTGTAGTCAGGACACTATTAACACTTCATCTAATCAAAACGTGTTTTAGGGAACCTCCTGCAGATGTACAAACAAAACGCAGTCAGTAAATCTGGATTTATTTATTTTTTAATTACAACTAAAATGCATCTTTAAAAACCCCTTTTTATGTGCTAGAAAAGGAGAATTAAAGTGTTTGAAAAATCACAACTTCAGTTTACACGTATAACTTTGACGATTCAATGGGGAAAGTTTGTTTGGTAACAAGACCACTTTCTCTGAAAGTATTCCGTCGATCAGAAGGTCATCTAATGGTATTTGGTCTTCGTGATGTATGCCTCTCCTTACTGAAAAAAATAGTATTTAATTGATCTGCAGTTTATTTTCTTTGGTATTTAACAATTTTGGTAACTCATTGTCCGGCCTTAGTTTAATTCATTTCTTTTCGTTGTTGTCCGTGCGAGACAAGTTTGGAGTCTCATGAGA